CTCAATACCCAAGATCTTGTTGATTTTTTCAAGGACGAAGGGATCCAAAACTATAAAACACGAGGGCACCCCCATTTCGCCGAGCGTTTCATTCGCACGTTCAAGGACATGCTTTTCAAGAGGGTTGATGCAGACGAGGAAAAGGGAAAGGTTAACATACAATGGGTTGATTATATCCCCGAGATCATGCTGACATACAACAGTAAAATGGTTCATTCTGCCCACGGTATGACTCCAAACGATGCCCACAAAAAGGGAAACCATCTTGAGGTCAAGATGAAGCTTGAGATGAACAGAATCAAAACCCGTAAATATCCCCCGGTTAGGGTTGGCGACGAGGTCAAAATATACCGCAAAAAAGGGATTTCCGAGAAAGAAAGAACGAGCAACTGGAGCAGTGTCAAATACAAGGTTTCAAGGGTTGAAAAAAAACTTGGTCAAGATTATTATTCTGTTGAAGGGATGAACCGCCCCTATTTGAGGTCAGAGATTCTGAAGGTTTGACTGGTCTGGTTTGGGGATTCTACTGTTATTTCAATAGAAAGGGAAACATCTCTCTCTCCCTCCCTTTCCTGCCACGCGCCACGACAACGACGACAGCAACAAGAACGGCGTCCTGAACCAGAACACAAGGCGGGGACTCCCGCTTCTGCAATGTGTCCAGAATTGTTTGTTTGCGCGCTGTCAAGTGCAAATCAGAGTGACGTCCACTGTCGCAGATTTTGCTCACACGGTGCTAGTTTGAGTGTCATTGTGTCATGGCGTCCTCTTCTGATGTGCCTCCGGTGGCCACGGTGGAAGAAGTTGAGAGTGACTGCGAAGCAGAGCCCGAAGTCAGTGCTGACTTCGTGCTTGGCTTGATGAAGGAGAATCAGGCCTTGCGGATTGTCATCGCTTCCGGTCTGGGCTACGAAGTCCCCGACAACATCCCCGCCCTTGAGGTGAACATGGCCAAGATCCAGTCAGTGCTGGATGTTCACATGACCAAGCTCGTGGAGTTGCGGGCGGCCAATGCCCAGACAAGCGGGCTTTTGGTGGCCTTTCCCAACATGGTCACCCGTGAGATGCCGGTCGACCGTGAATTCTTCAAGAAGACCGTCAAACAAGCAAAGGAGTTTGTCCTCACCTTCTTGGGCAAGAACAAGTTCAAGATGGACTACCGCAAGTTCGTGTTCATCACCGGCGACGGCGTGGTGATGTCCAACAACCGAGTGAACATCATCAACTATGTCAACTCAATGGGTCAGCGTATCAATGTTGCTCCCACTGGATCTGGTGGTGCGAAGACCATCAGGCTGAACAACATGGTCAAGGGACAGGAGAAGCACACCATGAACGTTGAACAGCTCAAGGCCATTGCCTCATCGGTGCCAGCAGAACTGAGTGGACTCATCACCGTGCAGAAGCTTGAGACGCACATCAGCAAGTTTGTGTCCGACATCGAGACCAAGGGCGCCAAGACCACCTTCGTTGAGTTGACTAAGTCCTTCTACCTTCAGAACCCGCAGGCATACGAGGAGCTCCGCAAATATCTTGACGAGACCAACACAGGGTCGGTGGACAGCAAGCTCAACAAGGTCGCAGAGCAAATGTTTCACTTGGAGGTCTTCGTTGGCCACATTGAGGGACTTATCAAGGCAGTGGACGCAGGAAAGATGGCACTTCGTGTGTGCTATGACAAGATGGCACAGGAGACCACGCGGCGCTTCAACTTTAGCACCTTCGTTGAGTTGTTTGCCAACGTGAAGGCTGTGGCGAGTGCATCGGCCTCTCACGATGCCATGGTTCCTTGAAATTACGGGAGATATAAGATCTTCCGGTGTGGCATTTAAGGTGGCAACCGCACAGGCCATCTTAGCAGAAACCAGAAAAGAGCGAGAGTGCCAAAACATGCTTGCCATGAGTGAGTTTCTTACTTGCCATGAGTGAGTTTCTCACTTGCCATGAGTGAGTTTCTTACTTGCCATGAGTGAGTTTCTCACTTGCCATGAGTGAGTTTCTCACTTGCCATGAGTGAGTTTCTCACTTGCCATGAGTGAGTTTCTCACTTGCCATGAGTGAGTTTCTCACTTGCCATGAGTGAGTTTCTCACTTGCCATGAGTGAGCTTGCAATTGGTACATGTAGCATTGGTGTGTGCGCCACGCAGTTTGACGCAATCAAGTGCTGGTTCTCTATTTGTCGCACCCCCTTTTGCCTAGTCACTTGCGCCATGAAACCTCAGATACTAGCCGAAAATGGAGAATGTGATCTGCCTCTCTTCGTGGCAGATGACTACGACAATGCGTATCAGGCCTTCTACGATGCTGACGTGACAAAGGTTCGGGCGAACAAGAGACGAAGGAAAAAGAACAAGAAGAAGCACATTCATGCGAAGAGGTTCGAGCGCGCGGTACTAAGGTGCCTGTCTGATTTTGACCTGTTTGACACACTACACATTAGGATGTGTAGCAGCGGGCCACAGCGCAGTGTTGATGAATGCAACATTGTGCGGATGCCGTTTCGCAAGAAGTGGTTCGGCCGCTTGTATTGATGCTGTTTGCATCGTTTCCAGCACAGTGCGACACCAAATGTCGCGTCAAATGAAGACCGAAAGCATGTGAAAAACAAGACTGCGTTAGGCCGTTGATCACTGCTTTATGTGGCAACTGTTTTTTTCCAGAGAAGACTGTTGTCATTCGCCCCGTCGCAGGTTCACAAGCAGAACAACAACTACGAGACAGTCTGCATCAAGGGAGGGCACGGATGTTTTCTAGTGAAGGGGATATAGCCTTTCCCGATCCGCATTTTGCCATCCATATTTTACTGGGATTGTTTTCAAGATTTGGGTTAACGGTTTTAATTCTCCCTTTTCCATTGGTTAACCATTTTTCGGGGCGAACATAGGGTTTCATTTTAGACTGTTCGTATTTGTTGGAAATGGGAAAGGGTCTCAGATTGGATCAAGGGAGAAATTATTGAGATCTTGGGGTCGCGATCTTGGGAATGAAAAAATGTTGGTATGTAGCTTGGATTTTTTTGGTGGGGTTTGTTGAGGTGGTATGTAGTTATGATTGTTGTTATTGAATGAGTGTAAGGGTGATGTTGAGATGGGGTAAGAAATGAAGATGGGTATGTGAATATGTGTTTTTTGGAGTTGGATTGGTTGGGTGATTGAATTTGAATGTTGAAAATAGGCTGTTTTAGTGGGCGTATTTGAATTGTGCCCAAAAGTGTGGGGGGGACCCTAGGACCGGATGGCAAAATGCGGACGGGAGAGGCCATCTCTAACTGTTGGGGGGGGGCGGCAGCCCCCCCATGATGTCGGAAGAAGTGGTGATTCAAGTAGGGGTGCAATGATTCAAGAAAGGGTGTGATAGAATTTACAAGGCAGCGGGAGGGTTGGCGGGGGTGGCTTCCCCTATGATGTTCGAAGAAATGCATACATACAGACATACACGGACTACACAGATTACCTAAAATGTCGTATTTTGCAGCATTTTCTCGCGAAATTGGATGCTCGAAAAAGTGATGATTCAAACAGGGGTGCAATTCAATCTCTGCCGGGCCAGTAAAGTGTCGTATTTTACAGCATGTTCTCGCGAAATATACCCCGCATGTCCCACCAACATCCCTAGCATCACCCACAAATCGTGTGACGGGGTCAAAGAAATGATGATTCAAGTAGGAGGGCATGTCAATCCCAGAAGTGATGATTTGAATAGGGGTGCAATTAAATCTCTGCAAAAAGTCTAAAAAGTAGCGGGGGGGTTGGGGGGGCGGCAGCCCCCCCCATGATGGTTCAAGAATTGATGATTCCCCCCCCCATGATGTTCGAAGAATTGATGATTCAACTAGGGGTGCAATTAATTAAATCTCTGTCGAAAATCTAAACGTAGCGGGGGGGGTTGGGGGGGGGGCGGCAGCCCCCCCATGAGGTCGGAAGAAGTGGTGATTCAAGTAGGGGTGCAATGATTCAAGAAAGGGTGTGATAGAATTTACAAGGCAGCGGGAGGGTTGGCGGGGGTGGCTTCCCCTATGATGTTCGAAGAAATGCATACATACAGACATACACGGACTACACAGATTACCTAAAATGTCGTATTTTGCAGCATTTTCTCGTGAAATTGGATGCTCGAAAAAGTGATGATTCAAACAGGGGTGCAATTCAATCTCTGCCGGGCCAGTAAAGTGTCCCACCAACATCCCTAGCATCACCCACAAATCGTGTGACGGGGTCAAAGAAATGATGATTCAAGTAGGAGGGCATGTCAATCCCAGAAGTGATGATTTGAATAGGGGTGCAATTAAATCTCTGCAAAAAGTCTAAAAAGTAGCGGGGGGGTTGGGGGGGGCGGCAGCCCCCCCCATGATGGTTCAAGAATTGATGATTCAACTAGGGGTGCAACCCCCCCATGATGTTCGAAGAATTGATGATTCAACTAGGGGTGCAACTAATTAAATCTCTGCAGAAAATCTAAAACGTAGCGGGGGGGTTGGGGGGGGCGGCAGCCCCCCCCATGATGTCGGAAAAACGCCACCTGCCGAAGAGGAACTGGGAATGCAGAGGATGCGAAAAGCCAAAAAGCCACCAAAAGCCGCATAAACCAGCAAAAAGCCGAAAAGCCTAGAAGCCCAGAAGCCGAGAAGCCAAGAAGCCGAAAAGCCAAGAAGCCAAGAAGCCAAGAAGCCAAGAAGCCAAGAAGCCAAGAAGCCCAGAAGCCGAGAAGCCGAGAAGCCAAGAAGCCAAGAAGAAAAGCCGAAAAGCCAAGAAGCCAAGAAGCCGAGAAGCCAAGAAGCCAAGAAGCCAAGAAGCCAAGAAGCCAAGAAAAAAAAACGAAAAAAAATCCTAAAATAAATACCCCTCCTTAGGGATTTTTCCCACGCCCAGATTCCAGCATTGAGTTGGCAACCCTTCAGTGGCCGTGAAATTGTTGGGGTAGATCAGTCCAGCAGGGAACATCTGAGGACGATCCCTTAGATGAAGAGAGCGAGAGATTTCGCGCGCTTTCTCCAAGCGGCCCAATGCCAGTGTCCTCCAGAGTTGGTGTGCTGCCACCTGGGCCAATTCGACCATTGGCCCCCCTGCGAGTGAAAACTTTCAGCGAACCCCCCCTGCGCTACCCAAAGTTGAAGGGGAAAAATGGAGGCAAACAAGAAAAACACCAATGGAAGGTCGTTGGTCAAAACAACTGGAGAGTGCACCAAAAACAACATCCGCCAACCAAACTTTGTTAAAAGGTGAGCCCTCAGCTAAGTCTGGCCATGCCACATCATCCCCGCGTTGGCGATGCCCGGGGGCATCGAGCTGCTGCCGCCACTGGCGCCGCCGCCCCAGCTGCCGCCGCCACTGGCGCCGCCGCCCCAGCTGCCGCCGCCGCTGGCGCCGCCACCACCGGCACCGCCGGCACCGGCACCGCCGGCACCACAGCCAAGATGCTGGTTCGTGCAGCCTCGTGGTGCGGTGCTTTCTGGAAACAAAAAATGCTGGCAGCAAAGCCGAGCGCCCCACAGCCTCCCCGGTCCGAACAAAGCTCATGCAAAACCGTGCAAAACAAGCTATTCTGCATGTCATGTCAAAATCATGCAAAAACTTTCAAAAAACGTGCAAAACCAATCTGTTCTTCATGTCATGCCCCCTCTGTACTTGCCCTACGCATGCCTCTATGCACTTCACTGTCTACTTTCCCTGCACATGCCCCTATGCATTTCACTGTCTACTTTCCCTGCGCGTGCCTCCATGCATTTCACTGTCTACTTTCCTTGCGCATGCATCTATACTTGCCCTGTGCATGCCTCTGCCTACTGTCCCTATGCATGGCTCTATGCACTTCACTGTCTACTTGCCCCATGCATGCATCTATGCAGTTCACTCTGTACTTGCAACACGCATGCCTCTATGCATTTCTACTCTGCGCATGCCTCTATGAATGTCACTGCCTACTTTCCCTGCGCATGCATCTATGCACTTCACTCTGCACTTGCCCTATGCATGTCTCCATGCACTTCACTCTGTACTCGCCCTACGCATGCCTCTATGCATTTCACTCTCTACTTTCCCTGTGCATGCGTCTACGCACTTCACTCTGCACTTGCCCTGCGCATGCCCCAATGCATTTCACTGCCTACTTTCCCTGCGCATGCCTCTATGACACTCCCTGTCTACTTCCCTGCGCATGCATCTATGCACTTCACTGTCTACTTGCCCTATGCATGTCTCCATGCACTTCACTCTGTACTCGCCCTACGCATGCCTATATGCATTTCACTCTCTACTTTCCCTGCACATGCGTATGCACTTCACTCTGAACTTGCCCTGCGCACGCCTCTGTGCATTTCACTGTCTACTCTGCGCATGCCTCTATGCATCTCACTGCCTACTTTCCCTGTGCGTCTCTCTATGCCTTTCACTGTGCACTTTCCCTATGCGCGCCTCTTTGCATTTCACTGCCTACTTTCCCTATGCAGTTGAGCTGTGCAGCATGCAACAACTTTACCACTGTCTACTTTCCAACTTTGCAGCCGGAGCTGCGGGGAGTTACTTTGCATACTACTTTTGTACTTACAAGTTGCGACTTTGCAGCCTGAGGCTGGTCCCTGCCGACAGCCGCGCGCAGACCGCAAAGATTCACACAGGACCACAGACACGCACAATCCCCTCAGAGGGTCGCGCGCGAACCGCGAAGATTCGCAGGACCATGGCAAGAGCAATCCGACACGCACGATCCACGAAGAGGGTTGCGTGCGAAGAGCAGAAAACGCAAAAAAAAAAAACACGAGTTTTTGCACCTCGACCACGTCGCGATCCCCGCAGAGGGTCGCGCCCGCGCGGCAAGAATCGCAAAAAAAGGCACCCTTAGTTTTTGCACATCGACCACGCCGATCCCCGCAGAGGGTCGCGCGCGCGCGCGCAGCAGGAATTGCAAAAAGTTCTCAGTTTTTGCACATCGACTACGCCGATCCCTGAGAGGGTCTCATTTTCGCAGAGCGCGCTTGGTCCCACCGCGCCGCCTTAAGAGACTAATGTTAAGTTAGGGCGCAAGTCTCCTCGTGCAAGTTATGCTCGTGCGAGAAGGAATGCAAGATCGCTACGCATTTCACTGTCTACTTTCCCTACGCAGTTCACTGCCTACTTTCGCTATGCAGTTGAGCTGTGCAGAACGCAACGACTTTACTGGAAGAACCCTTAGCAATGCTTTCGGGAAAAAGCGGAAACAGAACCTGTCATTTGCTTAAGCCGCCCTGGGAAAAATGAGAACATGCGACATCGATGCCCCTTAAATCCAAGGGAAAATTGATTATTATTTTTCAAAAAAAAAAACAATGAGAGGAGAGAATCAAAAATTAGTTGTGCTGTTTTTGTCTGCAAAAAACCAAAAAAAAGATAAGGGGAAAATAGGTTATGTTTTGATTTGTTCATTTATGGGGAAAAAAAGGAGGACAAATAGGGATGAACCCCTCCGAGTGGCACCAGGACTTCTTGCCCGCGGACCACCCGGTGAAGTGATGCGCCAGCCCGGCGTGGCAGTCGTAGGGCAGGCTCGCCACCCCGTCGCCCTTCACCGCCATCCACACCCATGCGCCGTTCACCTGGCGACGCCCCGCTCCAAGCAGTGGTGGCCGTTTCTTTTTTTTTCTGGGGGGGAGATGGTTTAGGTGTTTCTCTTTTTTTTCCTGCAGATGTTCTTTCATTTTTGTTTAGTGGTTGCTTTTGTTGCTATTTTGTTTCTGGGGAGTTTCTTTTTTAGGCGTTTTTCTTTTCTTTTTTTCTGGGGGGGGGGATTTTGATCCCTTGAGGAGGTTGATCCCTTGCTCCAAGCAGGTACTTGTTGCTTTTGTTGCTATGTTATTCTGGGGATTCTGTTTCAGGTGTTTGTTGTTTCGTGGGGAAGTTGCTCCCTTGCAAGCAGTGTTTTTTTTGTGTTTCTTTTCTTGTCTGGGAAGTTGATCCCTTGAAAGCTCCTCGGACGTGTCAAGTACATCTGACTCGAAATCGCAGGCCTAAGGGGTGAGAAGGGGGGCACCTGGGTTGCACGGCATGGCTTGCCTCCGAAAGGAGTTGCTGCTGCAAAGCAGCGGTGTTCTGAAAAAGACGAGCGTCGGTGTCCCTCGGGGAAGCAGGTTTGGAGGTGGTTTGGAGGTGCTCATTTCGAGTGCGCCCAGCGCAAAACAAGGAACCAGTGGCAAAAACATGAAACCAATCCAAGCAGGTTCAGAGAAAAAAGGGTACCTTGAAAAAAAAACATCCATATGTGTATATTATATGTGTACATACGTATATGTTTGCTTGCTTATGTATGGTGTTGCCTCCATGTGTTTATGCGCAGCCCCCTGCATGGGAGCACAAGAAAGGAACCTGCCTGCACGTGCTTCCATACCATGCCGAAGCCCGCATCCACGGTGGGAGCGTTGGCGCCCTCGCAGCCCATCTTCTTCACGTTGCAGCACCACACCTTCTTCTGCGGCGACCTCACGGCTCCGCTTTCGGCTCAGGGTCAGCTTTCGCACCCCGCCACCCACCCACCCACCCCCCGCCCTCCCCCAAAAAAAACAAGGCTTAAGAAGGAGAAGTGGGTTGAAAACTCCTAACCCGCGCCTGGGTTTGCAACAGGGGTTGTCAAAAAACAGGGATGTGGACCCTCAAAATGGTGGTGTTCCTTGTTCTTTTTGGTTGGTGGTTTGTGGTTTGACCCATCCCTGTGACTACGATGGCCCTAAACCAAGTGTTCCCTGTGACGGCAGCATCATCTTCGCTATGTTTGGTGGTTTGATTTGGAAGTTTGAAGGCCGCACAAGAGTGATTTTGTTTCGGCTTCCTTTTTAACCTACCCTCAACAAACAGGAAGTCAACAGGAAGCCAACCACTTGGAGGGTGCCAAACAATTTGAGACAAACCACGCAAAGATGCACATATCCGCTTTTCCCCACTCAGACCAACGCCAGTTCCTAGCCGAACCTCTCTCACCCCACAAACTTCATGGGTCAGTCCAGTCCCGCAACTCGGAGTTCAAGGCAAAGGCTGGGTTGTGTTTTTTTAAAAAAAATAACACGATATACATATATATATATATATATAAGTGAATTGCCTTGTTTTTAGAGGAAGTTAACCCTTGTGATCGTTGGAATAAAAAAATGTATATAAGTTTGGCGCTGTTTTAAGGGGGACATTTGAATTGCGATTTTTAATTGACTTATGTCCTTTCGTTTCCTCCTAGGGGAATTCGCATGACTTAGTGCTATTCAGCACCCGGCGCTGCTGGATTGAATCAGTGTTCGATCTGTTTTCCACCAAACAAATAGCAACACACATGCATTTGTCATTGCAATGCTCCACAAAAAATACGTCACGCGAATCGATTTCCCCCAGTGTCGGCGAAAATTATCGCGCGGCTTTTGGCCCGAGACGAGCGGACTCCCCCCCCTCTTGCTTGCCGCAGAGGCGCCAGGCCCGCACGAAGTTGTTGAAGGCCGCCTCCACCAAAAAAAAAAAGGCGGGAAGGCACGCGTGGGGATCGGATTGAGGGTGAGGCGGGAAGGGTGGTTCAACCCATTTTGGGACGCAGGGACGGGGCGGGGGGCGGGGGGCAGTTTGTTTCGGGCACCAGGGTCCAAGCCCTTTTTCGGTGCAGCTTCCAGCAAAACGAGCATGGCGCTGCTATTGGTCAAGAAAGGCTTCGATGCAAGGCGATGCATTTTGGAAGCACTCTCGTGTGCTAGTGTCCTGTTCAGGCCCCATTTTGTCACAGCCCCTTCTTCGTGGTTTGGAGCCCGGTGGCTTGGTGGTGTTAAGGTCGGGTGGTAAACTCCGTTTACCCACTATAAGAACTAGAGGTAAAGATACCAAATGACCACCAATCCAAACCACCAATTGAGGCTTGGCGTCAAAAAATAACACGATACTATCATACACAAGAATAAAACGGGAAAGAAGAAAACGTTCATGCCCCTTCCCTTCCCCTCATTTTTCGCAAAGCTCCCAATGGCTGTAGCTACATTGCTCTGCCTTCAAGGCTCATAGAGCCGATATGCTGTTGAAAACTGAAAAGAAGGAATCCACAGAGCGGATTACACCAAAGCTTCCAACGCCCCAACCCAAACCTGCTGGGGAATCAAGCTCCGGCCCATCGCCGTCCCAGCCCAAAAAACACACAACAACAAACGCGTCTTTGGGGGAAACATGTTGTGTGTTGGTGTGTTCTTGTTTTTTTTTTTGTGTGTGTGTGTGTGTTTCTTCTTTGCGCTGCGCATGGTTGTTCTTTTCTCCAACGGCTGGTTGCAAGGGCACGCTCAAGGGAAGCCAACCAGACTACTGGTGACAAATGTGGTGTTTGTGGACAGGGTTGTTCTCTCTCAAAATTCCCCCCACCCACCCACCCACCCAAAAAAAAACAAAGCAAAAAACTGCAAACACACACACCAAAAAAAAAAAAAAAAAAACACCCCATCCACCCCACTCCCCCACCCCCCAGCCTGGCAGTCGAAGGGCTCCGAGGCCGCCGCATGCACCTGGCACCCGGCCGCCTCCACGGAGCAGGCACGGCACACGTCGCACTCCACCTGACGCCAGGGACGCGCCGACGCTCCAGGGACGTGCTCGGAGGGCCGGTGCTCGGTGCTCGGTGCCGGTGGGTCCAGAGACAAAAATAAATCTCAGCCAGCTGGTTTTGGGGTTTCTTGTCCTTTGGTTGCGCTGGAGGGAAAGAATCAGTTGGCAACCCCGGAAAAGGGTTCTTTTTCCTTGAGGTTGGTGGAAAACCTCCTGAGTTGGCAAACTCCTCCGGAAATGAAACGTTCTTCCTGGCAGTTGGGACCCCTCAGTTGGGTTCTTTTCCTTTAGGCTGTAGAGACTTCTCCTAAAGACTAACCCCCCATTTAAGAAGGGGACTCCAACTTGTATCACAGAAGTGGGGATAAGCCCCGAGTGATCCCACAACCCTGGACTCCTCAGTTGCCAACCCCGGAAAGTAAGGATTCTTCCTGGCAGTGACCCAGTTCAAACTCCTCCGGAAATGAACTAAGCAGAATCCCTCGTTGATTCATGGGGCTCGGTGTCTCCTGGCAGTAGCAATTCAACACCAGGGAAACGCCCGGAAAAGCTTCAAGGTAGACTTAATCCCGGGGCTGGTGGATTTCCCTCAAAGGGAAGCGCCTGGTTTGAGAATGGCTGGGGAAAGCTTTAACGGAAGGAGTTCTAAGACCGGAATCTCCAACGAGGAGTCCATGCTGGTTTGCAAGGGGGCAACTGAGAACTACACCTGGAATGAATGACTGATGACTGACGATAACATGAGGAATAACTTATAGAACGATGCTTCGATAAATGAAACTACGCTAACATTGGAATATAGGAGGCCACGGTACCTGATATCAACAAAAATATTGGTCCGTTGCATGTTTTTGATCGCCCTCCTCTTCTTTTGTGTTTTGCGGGGGGTCTTCTCAGAGGGCACCTCATCGTCTTTCTTGTTTTGTGTTTCTGTTTTGTGTTTGTTTGCTGTTGTTTTTTGGGGGGGATGCACCAGTTTGCTGGGTCTACATGCCTATGGTGAGGCAAACCCAAAGCTGCACCATCTTGACAAACGCCAGCTTCTAGTTGTTTTTTTAGGAACAGGACATCCTACCGACAATCCGCGTTGGCGGGAAATGTTGGCAAGTTCCCCGTAGAATCTCCAGTGGTGGTTTCCATGGTGAGGAGACACACGCCCCAAAACGGCCTTTTTCACGGCCGCTGGAGGAAAGAAGAAGAAGAAGAAGGAGAAAAACAAAAACGCCCGAACCGCACCACGGTAACGACAAAGCACCTGGATCCGGCTGTAGGCCAGCGCGCAAGCCTCAGCTCCAATTTCACGCGCTACTCAAATTGCCAAAGACCAGGGAGAAAAAGGGTTTACATGGGTAATGTTGACCCCATATTCGTCAACTCTATTTTTTTCGGGGTTTAGTGGTTGGAATCATCACTGGTGGGGGACTGTTGGGGGGTTGAAATTCATCTGGGGTCAACATTCTTGGAAGCTTGACCACCTTTTTAGACCAGTGGCAAACCCAGGTCCGAAGGTCGATTCGAACTTCGGAGGGCCGAGAAAAAGCGCTCCGCTCCCCATGACTTTGCCACCGGTGGGTTTCCCCATGCGCGCGTTGTCTTGGAATCCCATGGTTGCGGATGGACGAAATCCACCACTTGGAAACCCTGGAAAAACCATGGGTTGGCACAAGGGAATGGAACCATTCCGGGGTTTCTTGGGTGCAGAATTTCGGCCATCGGTATCCAGTGTGAGTCGAATGGCTGCTTGATCACTTTGAAGTGGATCTGCTCCAAAAATGGATCCCTGAAATCCCCGTTTTCCACCATCAGCTGACCCAAAACCCTTCTCAGGTGCTCAAACCCAAAGCACCAACACGGGGCAAAACATTGGGCACATCGCCCAATCGGCGCCAGTTGGGCTAAGTCCCCTTGGGATCAAAAACTCGGGCGCCCGGAAGTTGGGATCGATCCATTCCCCGATCCAAGACGGTAGGTCCTTCAAAAAGCGTCCGAGCAAAGCGGCCCGGGGCAAACTCGGATTCGCACACCATGGGCCTGTCGTTTTTGTTAAAAGAAACCCAAAATGGCGTCGGTTTTTTTTTTGGGGTTCCTCCCCCAAAAAAAATTCTCCCTTGGGTTCCTCACCCCTCGCAAGAAACAGACGCATCAGAAGTATCTCTCCAGGGACCTTCATGGGTGCCAGGAAGGGCCATTTGGCGGCAAAGGCTAGGCTGGGACCCAGGTTTTCTGCAACAACCAATGGGAACTCCTGCACTTTGGGAGCCTTCTTTCTTTGGTTTTTCCCAAGCCCCGTCAGGGGCGTCCAACAAGAAAAACCTGTTGGAGGTCCTCCAGATTTGAGAGGTTAGAATAAGTTGGTACCCGATTCTTGTTGCTACTGTTGCTGCAGTCTATTTTAGTAGGGGAACCCACCCCAACAAAAAAAGAAGGCACTGGCATATAACTTAGAACTCGGTCAGCTTTCAATGGCCCCCTTGACCCCCGGAAAAAAGTCAACCAACAAAAAAACGGTTCTCTCAGACCGGATTTGCAGGGCCCTTCCTGTTTCCTGCTCGCAAAGAGCACTTGTACAACCATCACCCGCTACTGTGGGATGGGCGAAATCCTGCACCACCTAAGGAACGATGATTCCCCTGCAAATACCAACAAACAATGGTTTCCCATGGTTTCAAAGTGGTGCGATTTCTGGATTTCGATTTTCCATCCACAGTATTGGGATGGGGCCCCAAGTCAGATGCCATCCGTCTTCGCGCCGTCGGCGCCTTTGAATTGCCGCGGCGCATTGCCGTGGCCGGAGAAGACGTGGTCCGTGGTCCAGGAGATGCGGTCCTTGCAGGAGCTGCTCTCGCCCTTGTAGGTGCCTCGGTGCGGTCCGTGCGGTCGCGTTTTAGCTGAGCCATTAGCACGTAGATAACCCTCGTAAATGGCTTTAAATGGAATGAAACTCATCGAAATCAAACTAACCGACCAAAAGGACACTTATCTGCCAACTTCACAAAAATCGAAAAAGGGTGAATTCAGAATTGGACCACCGAACTAAAGGACCTTTTCCGGTTTTTGCTCGTCCCCCCCCCCAAAAAAAAAAAAGTACGCGTCGAAAATCGCCGAGAGCTCGCGCCACAAAAATCGCGGCGGAGGCGCAGACTGCATCGCAGCCCAGGGGGGACAAGGTGGTCTGCGGGCAGCCCGCCTGGTAGTGGCTGCAGCACCTGAAATTTCTGACAGCACCCACGTGGAACCCCTGGAAACCAAAAAAAAAAAACGAACCAAACATGCAGACCAAGCTGACCCGAAAAAGAAGAAAAGAAGAAACAAAGAAGCAGGTGATACTGTGGATGGAAAAGCGCACCACTAAATGAAACCATGGTTGAAACCAGAACTTTTGCTGGTATTTACACGGGAATCGAACCATTCCAGGGTTTCTGAGGTGCTGCGAAGTGGATTTCGTCCATCCACAGTATCTCCTGCAGCCCCTTTGAACCCTTGCGGTACCGTGACCCGGAGCCGCTCCGAACCATCCCAAAGCGTTCGCTAGAGCCCCAGCAGCTTCCATCTGTTGAGGAAAAAATACCGGCGGCTGCCATTGAAACAATCGCCACTGTTAGGTTCCAACTTAAGGGAATGGCTCGGAGACTGTGAGAAAAATCTGCCACTTTTGGAGGTTCCAAAAAGGGAAATGGCTCGGAAACCGTGAAAACAAACTGCCACTTTTGAGGTTCCCTTCAAAGGGAAATAACAAAGACCCCAAGCCTTCTCCTCCCTCCAAAGCACTCCACCCAACCTGTTGGCCGCCAGAGGGCCAGTCCTGGCGCGCGGCGCCCCAGGCGCGCGACGCGCCGGAGCAGTGGAACTTCTCGCAGCCCTTCTGCGTGTGGTCGCAGCACCAGTTCTTCCTCAAGCGGTCAGAGTTGTCCGACTCATGGACCTTCAAGGGCTGGGGCTATGGGGCTGTGGGGCTGTGGGGCTACGGGGGGGGGGGGGGGGCTACCCATGGATAAGCACTCATGGACCGCAAGAAGGGCTAGGGGGCCACGGGGCTGTGAGGGGGGGGGGGGGTATCCATGGATAAGCCCAGGATAAGACGAGGCAAAGCCCTTAATAAGGCCTTATTAGGAGGTTAGTTCGGGGGGCTCCATGACGGATGGATCCGAGCATTGTTGCGTGTTGAAAGGGAGAACTGAGCAGAACCAACAAGGGTGCGCCCAAAAAGACAGCCAGAATTGCAAACAGAAGGATTAAAAGAGCAAGTCCAAGAGATAGGGATGCGAACCTACAGGTACTTGCCAGAAGAATACAGAAGTGGCATAGTGGCTGGCAATCAGCTAGCCTGCCCACAGGTACAGTTCGCTCAAAATTCAGGCATCCAAGCGCACCACACCACACACCCCAGCCGCTGTAACTCTACTTGGGTTGCAATGCAGTTGCTTCCTACGCAGCCGCTCCGATCAGATTGCGCTTCAGCACCGTGAACCCACCGTCCTACATTCTAAGGGTGGGAGTAAATACCCCTTGTTCATACCCCTCGGCTTCCGTGGTTTCCAACCCACTTTATAAGGGGTATATACCCCTTTGGGGAGAGGGGTATGAACATCAGCAGGCCTCTTGGGTTAATTTGTCCAAGGGGTATGTAAAAGGCGTATGTACGAGCACCCCTGGATACATGCAGCGCTCCCTCAGCTGCTGGCCTAGGCATGACGTCGGAACATAAACTGCAGCCACCGGAGACCCGCGGTGCATGGCAACCGGGCCTTCTCGATGCTCATGTGGGCTGGGGCTCGGGAGAATCCCGCATAAGCTGAACCTCCATACAACATCTAGGCTCCGAATTCTCCTTCATGGGCGCTTATCAAGCCCTTCATAAGGCCTCATTTGGGCCTATTAGGCCCCATGCTTCATCGCGCTGCAAAAAGCAGAGCAAACAAGCAAAGCCAAATCATGTTGCAGTTCCACACACACGGCCTTGGGGTGGTTGGGGCATTACTTTTTTTCCTATTAGTAATATTTTTTGTTTGTTCTGTGTTGCTTCTTTTGCGTGATATTCCACCCTTTGTGCCACATTTTCGCATTAGGCTTGTACCACTAGAGATTCTACAAGCGTTGATTTATCTCAGGGAAAACCCTTCTCCAACTTCCAGCGCAACCTGAGGTCACCGAAGTCCTTTCCACGGCACTTGGAGTCCGACCAGCCCTGCTGCCAGTTGAAGAAGCCCGCCTCAGCCGCCCGCTCGCTCCCGCAGCCCCCCAGCCCCCGCTCGGCTCCCGCCCCCCTCTGCCACTCCTGTCCCCATTCACAGCCCCACAGACCCGAAGCAAGTCTTCCTGAGCCATTGAGTTCCCAGTTTTTAAAAGTCGGCCCCTTTGCCCGTTACCCCTGTCTCTGAAGAGGGGTTCTTTCTAGAGAATGCCAGGCCTCTCGTATCAAAGTCCCCATCGCGGTTTTGTCCGATACACGCCAGCAAAGAAGATGGCCCAACGGTTCCCGTTCGGTTTACTCATGTCCTTTGCCCGCTTGGATGGGACTTGTGCAATCTACGTTCATTGTTGAGGACCCTTGTTTGCTCCTCATGTTGGCGTTCACTTCGGGTAGGCAGGAGCTAATTGTGTTCAGCTTTGTTCCACCAGAAAAACACAAAATCCATGTCAAGGAAAAGAGAGCAACCTCACGAACCAGGTAATCATCAGGTAACAAGCCAGGTACGACCTGAACAACCAAAAAACGACGACCAGCCACACATCGGTTTCGGGCGCTCGCAAACTCCCAACTCACCGGGCCCACCTGGCTAAGGGTCAAAGATAGGTACCCAACAAGGACTACAACCTGCGGTTCCCTTCATTTTGACCAAACCCCCACCTCGCAGTCGTAGATCTTCCCTGTGGCATGGCCCATGCCCTCCTCCACGTGGGTGTGCAGGTGGAACTCCTGAGAAAGCCGGGCGCGCCTTCCACCTGTGGCTTGTCAAGACCCATGGGATCTCATTTTGGTTAGGTGAATTTACCACCCATTTTAGAACCTATTTTAGTGGGGATTGACCTATTTTAGTGGTTGGATTGAATCGGATGTTCACTGGGGTACGGGGTTTTGACCCATGGCCATATCCAGTTGGGTCACGATCTGAGTTGGAAATGCCAAACCCCCAAACCCCACTTGGTGGGGCACAGAACATATCTCACAGTCTGGCTCATCAGTCTACATGCAAAGTAGGTAGACCCCAAGGCCCGCTGCCAAGAAAAATCGACAGCCTGTTGGTGTTCCTGGGTGAGACTTGGGGCTTCTCGCTCCCGAAGTTGCAAATCACCCGGGCGTTCTGCTTGTCCGAAGTTCACACTGGGTGGGGCTCCGAGAAAGTCTTGGTCAACAGGTTGAAATTGAGTTGCATGTAAGAACTTTTTGCGAAGTCTTGCCGCATTTTGTTTGTGTTCGGTGCATGTCTGCTGCACTTGTTCCTGCAAATCCCTCCTGTCCGGCTTGTTTTCACACATGCATAACGACACCTAGTTCGCGATATGCCTCCACGTTTGCCCAACACATGGTGGAACAAGACTACCATCCTTTGGCAACAGAAGGGCACCGAGCTACCGTCAGGTGATTGAAAACATGAGCCCTATTCAGAATTGCCGCAGTTGCGCCCAGTGGTCACACCATATCACAAGCATCCGGGCTTCTCCCTTCTACTTCTCGTTTGCACTTCCCAGTGCCCAGCAAACCCACCGTGCCCGAGGTCACCATACCAAGTCTCCGCCCTCTGACTGGAATTCATGAGCCCCCAAGAACTTGAGGCCCAACAAATGCGCCCTTGAAACATCTGAGAACGACCTGCCATGCAAACCTGAGTAAGTGGGGACCTACCCAACCCCCCCCCCACCCCACCCCCGGGCCGAGGTACCCCGTGCCAGGAGCCTGGGCAGCCCTTGTTGAAGTGGTCGCAGCAGAAAGCCTGGCGACTCGCGACCCACATCGCTTGGCAGGCGACCCATTGGCTGCGCAGAATGGTCTTCTCTTTTCATGATTAGACTTTATTGCTTGCTTCACATGGAGCCACTGGTAAAATGTAAAATGTATCCTAAGTCTACCCCAGTCTTGGTCTTGCATCGCTTCTTTCTCAATCTTTTGTCATTAGTTTCTCATTCTTTGTCCCACTATTTCTCATTATTCTCTTTCTTGCATGTTCTTCTCTTTCTCATTCTTGTTCCCAAAAGCATTGCAAAAAAGTTCCTCCCCTAAAATCGTTAGCCCTATCGCGCAGCAAAATGCAAAAAATGAGCTCAGGCGATATCCCCAACAGCATGCGGTGCTCTTTTAGCGCTCGCGCCACCCCGCAGCCCTCGCAGAACCTCGTGGAACCCTGGTGGAACCCTGGTGGAACCTTTACCTCAGGGGCGCCCCGGACCACCCCGGAGCCTATCTGGGCTGAGACCCCAAAGCTTTCAGCTGTTGGGAGAAAAAAACATGCGACACAAAGAGCCCATACATAGCAAGAGACACGCGCGCACACGCAGAGCGAGAGACATGAACACAAGCAGAGCATGCAACTTGCACGAGAGAACTCGCGCAGAAAGTTCCACAAGAGAACACGCCCAGAACTGCATGAGAGCCAACTGCACGAGCACACTTGCACGAGACGAGAACACCTGCACGAGAAACTAAACATATTATTTTATGCCGGCGCGGTGGGCCAAACCCACTCTGCGAAAATGACACCCTCTGCGGGGCGTGTGGTCGATGCGCAAAAAACTTGGGACTTCGTCTGCATTTTGACTTGCCCGCGCGATTCTTTGCAGGGATTGGATTGTTGGTGTCGGTGCGCAAAAATTGGGAAACTGTCTACTTGTTGACTTGCGCGTGCACAGCACCCGTTCTTCCAGTTTGGCTGTTTTTGTGGGGGAAGGGGGGCGCTAAACATTCTGAGCAACTTAGCACCCAAAGAATTGCTTGTTTCAGCCTGCTGGTGCATGTCCTTCTGTTTGTTCGGTGCTTGGTTTAGTTGTTTGCTTGTTTGTCTTGTTGATTTGCTTGTTTTTGTTGCTGGTTGGTGCTTGCCTTGGCCGCGTGTGGCGACCTTTCACAAGCTGGAAGAATTTAGGATGTGCGGGTGCTCCCAGAGACTTGCCTCACAGGAAGCAGACAGAAGGCTGTCTGCCAAGCATGACAGCGGGCAATCCACGACTTGTCCTCTGCCAACTTCCAAGTTTGCTAGCTTGAAAGCCGCCTGCAGAATCCCCTATAGTCTAGCTGGTTTTCGGATACTCGGCCCTACAACATCCGGACAAAAGTAGACCAAAGCTTCAACCTCAAAACGTCAGATCCGGCATGGAGGGGGACGTCACTTTAGAGAGCCTGGAAAAGGGGTTTTCAAGCAAATGGCCATCCCTGTTTCCTCCGGGAAATCGAAAGAAGAAGCTTCGGCTTGGCACTTGCCCAATGCAAAGGCGTCCGATCCGCCCGAACACCCACTCAACATGGATTATAGCCAGTATAGGAAGGGTATATTTCTCCACTTACCCATCTTAGATCAGGCCTTCTTCACGCCTGACCAGCCGAAGTACCAATTCTTGTACCCCGCGTCGCAATCATAGTCCGTGTCGTGCTCATGGTGGTCGTGATGCTCGTGATGCTCATGGAAGTATTGGTAGATGGGTTTGGATGGCACCGGCACCGGGACTGGCTTGCGGATGATCTCCGTCTTCCTCAGGAGAAGCTGATGAGCTATTGCTTATTCTCCCGATTTTTTTCTTCGGAAAACGATGCGACTCATTGCTTTGCTTTCTTTGCCAGCCACGGCGTTTGGGCCCTTCCTAGGGAACCTTCTTTGGGTTAGGAAGGCAAGCCGACAGCAAAGAGCCACGTCCCCCGCCTGTGATATTCTCAAGGCTGATCCCCCCCAGCGCCTCCACCCTGTCCGAGAACCCCCCCCCAAACAAAAAAAAAAAGGAAAAGGGATTGAGACCTCCCCTCTGTCCACGCCCCTCACGGAAAGATGCAGCGCATGTTGAATGTTTCAGGTACCCTTTTCGTGGTTTAAATGAACTCAAATTCATCCAAACCATCCAAACCAAGCAAGGCCAACCTAAGTGCCTGCTTCCTCCCCCCCCAAAAAAAACTCTGGTGACATCCCCAACAGCATGCGGTGCTGTTTTTAGTGCTCGCACCACCCCGCAGCCCTCGCAGAACCTCGTGGAACCCTGGTGGAACCCTAGTGGAACCCTGGTGGAACCCTGGTGGAACCCTCGTGGAACCTTACCTCAGGGCCGCCCCGGACCACCCCGGAGCCTATCTGGGCTGAGACCCCAAAGCTTTCAGCTGTTGGGGGAAAAGAAACAAAGGAAGAAGAAGAAAAAATGGCCCCAACACCCCGTCCTCATTTCGCGCCTCCGTTTCAAGCTTCTCCGTTTCACGCCTCGCTTCGCTTGAGCCCAAGGGGCCCAGGCACCGGGACCTTGATGAACTTGGGCTTCACCTGGAAGGTGTGCCTCGGACGACGTGACTTGGGAACTCCCGAGATCCAAACATGCGCAACGTGTCCGAGGCTCTCAGCTGCCCACCACTCCCACAGAACCACTGGACCAACAAAACACAACAACACGGCCGGTGTCATTATTTGGTAAACGGCCATTATAGGAATCACAGGAATCATTTCATATTGTAACGCCCACCCCCCCCCAAAAAAAAAAAGAAGAAGAAAGTACCCTCAAAAAACCCAGCAGTCACCAGATTTTCCCGAAGTCTACCGTTGCTCAATTTACTGGGGTCATTATTTTGACGGTTCTGGTGGGTTTCAAAGGCAGAAAATGGTGGGTTGTTTCCCTTTAACCCACCACTGAACGGGGTGACTTTGATCATGGTAAAATAATGAGGCCAGAATTCGGAAGCACCAAATGTCCATTGGGCGTGTCTCCTCTGAGCTTGCCTCGACCAGCGGGGCAAAAGCCACGGTGGTTCACAAAGGGGACCCCAGAACAAAATGTGCTTAAGTGCTCTGGAAAAATTAGACCTTTTTCCAGTAGCTATAGGTTCCCTTCCGTTCAAAGCCAAGTACAAACGAAGGAGACAAACCACTGTTCTAACGCCACATCGTGTAGCTCCAAAGCGACCGAGGAAGCGTCCAATAGTCTAGCATGGCTCATGTAGTAAAAGAGTTGGACACATTTGTTGGCTCGTGTCCATTATTAGTGGCTCGCGGCCCCGGACCTAAGCAAAAAAGGGCAAACGAAAGTGCCACGCCTTTTTCGAATAATCAAAAGGTGGGCCGCAATAGGGTTGAGAAACCGCCCTTCAGTTCGGATATGATCACTTTTCGGAAAATTCGAGCTGGATCAATCTGCAACCTGAGCTCGTGGAACATATGCCCCTCAAAACGGGTACCCACCACTCCCCGAGAAAACAAGTTCCCAACGGGGAAAAGATAGGTAGTGGACGTCACTCATGAATAAATTACGGTTGCCTCAATTTCGAATGACTTACTTCCTTCTAACCGGCAAACCTTAGATTGAAATAGACTTCGGCTCAAAAGGCGAGTCGAAGTCGAAGGGGTCGATCTTTCGAGTCTCGTGTTCCTCTTGTTTCAGGGAACCGATATTGGCGACCTGTGATTTCCCTGTTCCCTTGAAACCAACCCCAAAGGGCGCTTAGATTGTATGACCCAACCTGTTTGGGCCCCTTCCTTTCACCCACTTGTTTTCGGGTAAAAAAACCTCACCTCCTTCCTCACAGGCACACAGACACACACTGGATGGACGCATTGGATGGATTGGATGGAGATAAGGTCTATTTCTTTAACGACACGCGCACACACACACACACACACACACACACACACCCGCGCGGAGTCGCTTTTTTTTTCACTTGCAAAACCTGACCGAGGTGCTTGACAATGGTGTGCCCCGGCACCGGCATCGGAATCACCTTGGGGCTGTCCGGCACCGGGTAAGGGATCTCCTGGCGCCGGGATTCAAATTACCCAAAAGGAAGCTTGAGAATTGTGTTGTCTGGCAACTCCGAGGGTGGTAATTAGAAAGGTGTCTCTATTTCCAAGCTGGGGACATAAACACCCATCAAAAACAGGTACCCGGGAGAAATAGCGCCAGAACTTCCTGAACAACGAAAAAGGGCCGGCCTTCTGGCTGTCCTTTCGGCTTCTCTCTCCGTAAAGAGGGCAGAAACCTTAAGGCACTCCGAAACCAAACAAAAAAAAGGAAGCCCAGGCCCGGGGCCAGGATCAAAACCTGACTTCAGAACTCGGACCAGCAACTGCCTTCCCATGGTGAGCATAACTTCTGCCCCGCATCGATGTGAGCGCCCGCCAAAAAACAAACAAACCGGAAGACACGGGCAAGCTCTGCTCAGCTTCCCATGGTCCTTGGTTTGGAGTGTGGTTCTTTAAGGCTGTGGCTCAAACAAATGCACCAAAATGGCGCCTTGGCAAATGGCCCCAAAGACTAAAACCTGCGTAACTCTAGCTCTTGAATTTTGAGCCACACCCCCTTCGGAGGTGTTCCGGTGGTTTTGGGTGTCTTTCAACAAGAACCAACCCTCTCAAGGCCTTGAAGGCCGAGCTTTCTCTCTCTCCCTCTCCTTGTAGGTGACCTTGGTGTGCGGCGCAGGTGCTGGGATGTAGTGGGGCACGTAGACATTCTTCACCTCGCTCGACAGCTCCGGGCCCCGGGAAAGGCGGCTCCGCACACGACTCCCGCGAGATGTTCGGCATGGGGCGCGGCTTTGCTGCTGAAAAAGACCCCCGCACAAAACGGGTTCCCCCCCTTTAAAAAAAGCGCATCCACGGATACAAGCTTCATGTCAACTCGCCATCTGCAAACCTTGGGTGATGGGTCAAGAGTGCAATACATATCGACCCCTCGACCCGCCTTGTGCACCGTGTGGTACACGTCTTTGTTCCTGGGCTTCGCACCCCAACATTCACTCCATGCTCGGTCGCGGGTTGCCTCATGGATGCTCCTCGTCCGGCATTGGTTCTTGGCTTTGCTTGCTGGAGCTCAAGGAGAAATGGAATGACCCCCATGGACCATCCAACTGGTTGTTTGGTCCCGAAACACTAACGGAAGACTAGGGGAAGAAGCCGGAAGACTACGGAAGACTAGGGGAAGAAGCCGGAAGACTACGGAAGACTACGGAAGACTACGGGCGTCCCCGGGTTCATTCCCGGACCTGTTGATTCACGGACCAGCAAGTTGGTTTGGCCTCAAACGGCCCCAAAGGCCGCAGCAGTTGCCAAAATTGGCCGTGGGGGTGGCCTACCTGAGTCAGAACCTGCATCCCGCAAGGAAGGGAGCAATAGACAACCAGAGATCCCTAAGGAGAATAACCCGGTGGGCTGTCCCCGTGCCACCATGGGACCCAAAAAAAGCAACCCCAATTGACCCTTTTGTGAAACCCCTCTCACTCACCTCACCCGACCCACACAAAACGTAAGCGGTCACAGGTGCGTTGCCAGCCGAAAGCCCCTTGAGTCAGGCGCAGGAAAGTTGGCGAATGTCCCCACCCTCCTTGTCTTGGGGCGAAATGGGATCCAACCCGAGACCTCCAACTCAGCAAACCCAAGGGCCCCCCTGGCCTCGCTGAATTTCTTCCTGAACGGCATGAAAGGCAGGCGTCTGGGTGCCTAGTTGCCCCTACCAGCCCCCTTAGAAACAAGGGTTGGCCACTTACACTTTGGCCTGCCTTCTTAAGATTAAGTCACTGAGGGCCTGCAGCCGCGGTGTTGGCCCCTGACAGCTTTGGACTATTTAATGGTGTCACTGCAAGTGGGTGTTTTTTTTGAACCCCGCCTAAAAAAACTGTACCCAAAATGGAACCCTGGCAAGTGGAAAAACCTGCGGTTTGCCCCTCCTGTCTAATTTTGAGCCACAGCTTTATTTAGGGCCAATACTGTGGATGGACGAAATCCTGCACCACTGAAGGAACCCTGGAATGATGATTCCCCTGTAAATACCAACCAACGTTTTGGCTTCCCATGGTTTAAAAGTGGTGCGAAATGGATTTCGTCCATCCACCGTATTGAGGGCGTCAGCAACTCGGAGACTCGGGCGGGCTGCACGATCACCGGCTTGCACGTGATGCCTTTCTCGTAGCAGCAGTAGCGCTGGTGCTGGGCGCTCCACTTCTCCACGTCCAGGTGCTCCGACTCAGGCGGCGGCTTTTGTTTTTTGTTTTTTTTGTTTGGGGGGGGGGGTATTCACTGGTTCAGAGCCATACCGTTGATGGACAAAATCCTGCACCTCTGGATGAAACCCGACAAAAGTGGAGTTCGTAACTTGCAAACGGGGGGATGCCCCAAGGGGCGATAGAAGGGACCCTGAAGACAACGCTGGCTTTCACGGGGCGTCTGCCTGCGCTTTAAGGCTTTGTGTTTGTTTTGGGCCCCTATGTGGGCTTTTCTCTTTTTAGGGGACCTCCCCCAAAAAGAATTATGGTGTTCCGTTGGTTTTCCAGCATGGCCATGGGGATGCAGAGGGTGGAAGGGTTTGTGGTTCGTGGTTTGTGTGTCCTGTTAGTTTGATGGTTGGAGGGTGCTTGATGTATCCACGTGGTGTGTGTGTGTGTTTGTTGGTTGGTGCTCCTTCTCTGAATTCCAGCATTTGTTGGATGAGTGTTTGACTTGAAAAGGGCAACAAAGCAGGACAGTGGCGTTGCGGTTCGATTGGTTGATCCTAGTTGTTTCGGAGCGGGCATGTTTAGTCATCTGCATACGTGTTTCATAGGTGCTGCCAAACAGGGCAGGCATCAAGAAAGCCAGTATTCAGGCGCTTCATCATGACGGCCCACATTATACCAAGGCATCGCGAGTGCATGTTGACAGAATCGGTCGGCCAACCAAGCAGTTCAATCGGAGCTTGTCAAATACACCGATGCCGACTGGCTCTAAGGCACGGACAAAAAATAACGGGCTATGCAATGCTTGGGTTGACTGCTATGAGCAGCCAGGGGCCTGTTCCATCAGCAGAAAATGAAAAAATGAAAAGTTGGTCTTGACGAAAAAGTGATGTCGCAATATCCAAACTTTTCGTCAAGACATCACTCAAGACATCACTTTTCGTCAAGATATCTACTCAGAGGCGGTAGCAATCTCCAAACTCTGCCGAACTGAAGAAAGAAAAAGCTTCGCGGAATCTCGGGGCTTCGGCTTCTTTACCTCGTCCTATTCATAGCCAAACCCCCCCCAAAAAAAAAAAAAAAAAACGGCCTGGACCTCACTCCCCCCCCCCCCACCAAAAAAAAAAACTCCCATCACCCCCCTCCCCTTGCTTGCTTGCGCATCGTCCGAGTCCGAGGGGCGAGGGCGCACTGGTAGGGCGGCGGCGCCTTCACGTAGACCGTCTTGTGGTAGGTGACCGGCACCGGCACCGGCTGGTCCAGGGGCACCTGCACCTGAGCCCCGCTGAGTCTGGGGAGGGGGGGGGTCCAAGGGGGAGGCATCACTTCTTCATACCATTTCCCGTTCCTTTTTTTTCTTGACGGGAAATGGTGAATGGGTCCCTTCTCTTCCCATCACCAGCTATTTACTTTCATTATCTCATTCCACGTTCCGTCTAATTCCAAACTAAAGGCATTTTGGAAGGCTCCGTAAGGAAATGAAAGGGGTGGCCCAACTTACCCTGCCTCCCACTAACATGGCACCTGACAGGGGGTCTCTTAAAGAGGAAATTCATCTACCAGGTACCTCCCCATAGGATTTGTTGTTTTTCAGGATACCTAAGGAAGAATACAAAATACCAAGTTCCCCCCCCAAAAAAAAAAAACATAGCTAAGCATGAGGAACCCTAAGGAACCCGAAAGGGGCTCTCAACTACCCACCCACCAACTCCATAAAAGATCCACCCCGGGCCGGCGAGCGGAAGGCCAGCGGAAGGCCAAGGCCAAGGAGGCGAATGGGAACAGCGTTCGTACGTGGGATCCCGACCGTCCACCGAAAAGGGACCGGCTTCGGGAAGGGGTGGCTTCCTGTTGCTCCCTCAGTCCAAACCCCAAGCCCACTCAAACTTGCTCAACTAGCCTTGAACTCGACCCGAGTCCCACTCCAATCTTCAGTCCAATGTATACCTGCCTACCTGCCTGAAACCCGGGGGTTCAATCACCAACCTCCGCGCTACAAACTGGCACAAGCTCCTCCGAGGGGCCGGCACCCGCACGTCATGCACCACCACCTTGGGCTTGTACTCGATGTGTGGGGCACAGGCCCGGTGGTAGTGCTGGCAGCAATAGCTCCGGACCTCGGATTGAAGATGCGAAGGGTCCCCACTTCTTTTTCTGGCCCCAGTAGCTTACCATGATCCAAGTCACCCCCCTTCAGCGCAAAAATGCAAAAAAAGGAACCACCAACCGCTTTCTGACTTTGATGAGCCTCTGTGGTCCTAGTTGGTTCGCATGTAGTGTTTTGTCTTTTGTGTAGATTCTCGTGGGTTTTCCTTTGGGTTTCATTGCACCTTTCCCCTGTTCTTGCAAACAATCCTGAGGCAAGAGAAAGAAAGGGAAACCCCACGGCCTTCCCAACCCTGGGGAGGCACACTCATCGGACATCTCCTGGTTGCTCTGGGCCGAGTCTTTTTTGTGTGCGCGTGGGCCTTGCAAGGGGACGTTTGTAGGAGCCATCAACTGGCCAAGGAGCCCGGAAAAAAAAAACCTTGGGACGGCCAATTGGCCAAGTGTTCTTCTAAGCCCCCCCCCAAAAAAAAACACAAAAAACGGCCACCGAAATCTCTAGGAAGCCTTTCGGCGGGCCGCTGGCCAAGAACCAGCCCGCCTCTTTGCGTTGGAAGGCCTTTGTGGGAGAGTTCCGTATGGGAGGCGCCTACAGTGTTTGCAAGCTCTCTCTTTAAAGCTGGGTGGGCTGGTAATTAGCAACTCCAACATGGCACCCGGAGAGTCATCGCTGATTCGGAGAGATAAACCTTTCTGGTGGCATACGATGTGGGTTTTTCAATTGGCTTTGGGTGGATTTTGGGCCGTTCTTGGGAGTGTTTTTTTGTGGATGCGTCTTTCTCCACAAGCATGTCGCACCCACAATCATCCAGGCATCCTCCCAAACTCCTTTGTAACACAAAATCACACGCAAAAAAAATGAAGAACACGCGAGCTGTTTGAAACCTCAACCTCCTCCCAAACCCCCTCCCAAACCCCCCCCAACACCCAAAAATAAAACCCCGCGCCTCGTCAGACCACTGGTTCTTCCAATCGCTGTAGCCGGTGACCTCAAGCCCCCCGGAAACGGCGAAGCGATGTGCTCGGCTCATCGATCTGCTCGGGCGGGACCCGTTTTGGTCTTCAACTGAGTCTGCGTTCTTTGACGGACCTGCCCCTTGGAACCTCAGAAATCAAAGGTTCACCTTTTCGGAACCAGAAATGCCAGGTCCACCGGTTGGAACCTTGAAATATGGACCAAACGGAAACCAAAAGCCAAAAGGTGTTGCATCTGAGTTGGTTGGCCCCTTCAAGGTGTGATTCAAAAAGGACATCAACAGGAAACCAACGACTTTCGGGGTCCCCTCATTTGGAGACCAAATCTCACAAATGGAGTGGCCCACAAAGGGGTCGAGAGGAAAAATTGGTGAGTTGTTGGGTTCAGGCTTGGTGGGTTCACATGAAGACGTTCCAATTCTTCTACTAAAGACTTCACCGGTTGCACCTCTGAGCGCCATTGGAAAGGTCAACTAACCCGCAGCATGCATCAGCCAACCAACCGACCAACCGCAAGGCCGAGCCTCCCGAAGGATCAAGCCATGCTCCAAGAGTGACTTCCAAACGGGGGACGGCCCATATGATGCTGTGGATGGAAAAGCGAAATCCATGTCGCACCACTTTGACACCGTGGTTGAAACCGGTGGTTGTTGGTATTTACAGGGGAATCATCAGAAACCAGGGTTTCTTAGGTGCTGCGAAGTGGATTTCGCAACCATCCACAGTATGAAACCATTTCTGGAATCCAGGGCGTTGATTGCAAGGAGTCAGACTCTTCCAAGATACACACACACACACACACACACACACACACACACACACACACACACACACGCCCCTCGCAGGACTGGGGGTGTCAAGGGGTCAACATGAGCAAACCAATGATGTAAAGCCCACGTTGCGTTCGGGGTGCCAAAGGCATGTTCCCAAGAACAACTACCAGGTCTTCCAGATTTAAAGAGGTTTGAATAAGGGTACCCGATATTTTTATCTGCAGTCTATTTTACTTGGGGAACCCTCCCCCCAGAAAAGGGTAAAAGGGCACTACTGGGGGACCTAGACTAGAACAATTACTACGAAAAGGTTTGGAACTTTGGGCACACGTCCATATGCACCCCTAGCAGCAGCCGCCTCTCAGTGCTTCTGATGAGCTTTGATTGGGGACCCGTTTGTCTCAGTTCACTTACTCCTTTTTCTGGGGGGGCATCCAACCTGATGTCAATACGGTTTTGACCTAGGAGTTGTTCCCCCCCCCCCCCCCGCCCAATTCAGGGTCTATACCCCCAAAAGACATGTTCATGGTGCCGCTTCATATTCGGACAACCTCAAGATTTATGGGAGTTGATCCATATTCCTGAATGACCATGGGTAAGTGTTCCCCTTCTTAAACATATCCTCTTGGCGGTTTTCCAACCAATGGCCATCCCATGTTCCTCGGACCTTTTCAGAACCCCCCCTAGCGGAGTGTTTTCTTGAGGGTACCCCTCTTGTGCGATCGATTTAAAAAGGAGAACCAAAAGCAAACCACCCATTGTAGGGAAGCTCCCCCAAAAAGGTTGAGACGCCCATATCAACAAAAGGCGACCCCGAGCCCATTCCCTATCTTCGGAACTCCGGGGATCCAGGCACAATCCGGCACTACCAGGGGCACGGGGCGCCCAATGTCGCTCTGCCCCACCGGGGCAGCGCTCCAAACGAAGTACCAGCAAAGACCTCGAAGATGGACGGCTGCGAGTCGGCCCATGCGGCCCAGTGGGGTGTGCAGGGTTGCAGCTCTCACTCCCTGACTGGACTTCTTCCACATGGCGAAGGGGACCAATCCGTGCCACATGCTGTTCGAAAACGAATTCCTCTGGAGCTACTTGGCTGTGGCGCCCTGGTAAGTGGACATATGGACCACAGCCTGCGTAACCACCCGTGTTTATTTTGAGCCACACCCACTTGAGCTCCCCCAAAATGTTTACTTGAACGGGTCCAGACCCGAAAAGTTGAAAGCCGAAACCATCCAAGTGACCAACCATGAGCTCTTTGGCTCGGCAAGGCTTGAGATACGTAGAGAAGCCCAGGTGTTCCCAGTAAGCCTCAAGAGCAACTCCAGACATGCTTCCTTCACTTGAAAGTGGGACCCCTTGATACCAAACTGCCAAAAGTCCAGAAATCGGAGGACAGCTCTCCAGTTCGCAAGCAGGTTTGGGGACTCCTCCAACAAATTGCCCCCTTTCCCAAATGCCCTCTGAGGCCACCCAAAGTGGGGTTGAACAAATGGTGAAGCACCTCGGTCCTGGTGCTTCCACTGAAAAAGCGGGCATGCGCCTTTGAGCCTCCCCAAACGAGACTTCTTCCCTCGAAATAGTCAGGGACCTGCCTCAGGGACCCTGCCTCTTTGCTTGGACAATTTCGATGCAACGCTCCAAACTGTCGGGGGCCCAATGGATTTTCTTCAGCTTCCCTCAACTTGGTTTGGATTGGGTTTGGGCTGGTTGCCCATCTACCCCCTACAAGAACAAGGGGTTCCCCCAAGCCACCAATCCGAACAAACAATTGAGCATAGGTGTCCTTTTGGAAAATAGATGGCCCTGGTAGATGATTGAACCACCAGGTACACCAGGGCCCTCTGTGTTTTAACAAAACCAACCAAAAAGGACACTTATGCAATTGAGGGTTAACAGAATTCTGGCAACACCCCCAGTTGACATTTTGCCAACTGCAGTGGTTCCAATCAGCTTGGGACATCACCTCCAGCATTGATACGAGCCCGCTTCATGTTTCCCAAACACAGGGAGAAATATAAATACATACAGGTGACACTTTTTTTAATATACTAAAGTAAGTTCATCACAAGTGCAAAAACTTATAAATATAATCGCGCATCATCATTTTTCGGGCCCCGGCCGGCGACCAGCGGGAGGAGGAAGATGAAGCAGCAGGCGAACCCGATCATCGGCTTCTCTGTCACCAGGTTCCTCTCCTCAGCAAGAGATCTGGAACCGCCGGGGTATGGTGGAACATGGTTTGCGGGAATGGCTGGTCAGCTTCCTTCGGCAATTGGTGTTGTGGAGTGGTGGTTTGTGGCTAAGGGGTGGTTCCGTTACCTACTGTATTGTGGCATGTGGGATGCACACACCCTTCCCCACTTCACGCCAACAAAAGGAAACCATTGAAAAGCGTAGCTTGAATTCTCATCAGAACACCTGTAGAGCGGGTGCCACCCACTGGCAAGTACCACCACGCGCCCCGCCTGTCAACTCTCGGGCTCTTCGCGTCCCTTTAAAAGGCATTTGGCTCCGGCTGTGTCCAGTTCGTTCCCTCTGATTCTGTGCTGCTTTTTCTCTCGAATTCCGGAATTGAGGGATGGTGAGCTCGTTAGACCGCTCGCAAAGAAAGAAAGAATCCGTGTTTTTTTTCTCAAGTTCCAAAAGCTGACTTGAGGGATGGTGAGCTTGTTTTATACCGCTCGCACAGGGAAAAAAAAAAGTTTTTTGTTTTCAATTTCCAAAAGCTGACTTGAGGGATGGTGAGCTCGTTTTATACCGCTCGCAAAAAAAATGTGTTGCTTTTTCCTCAAGTTCCAAAAGCTGAATTGAGGGATGGTGAGCTCGTTTCATACCGCTCGCAAGAAAAATCCGCTCTTTTTTCTCAAGCTCCAAAAGCTGAATGGAGGGATGGTGAACTCGATTTCTACCGCTCGCAAGAAAAAATCGGCAGACATATTTTTGTTGCCCTCTCCTTGTTGAGGCTGCCTTTGCCGGCCCCCACGTACCTCACGCTGGTGACCTTCTCGTAGGCGCCTTTGCCTGGCATTGCGCCGAGCCGAGATGCCGCGAGGCTGAGGCGCCTACTGGCGCCCGGCGCCGAAGAAGCGGTAGGGCGACGATATTCAAAATCTTCCGAATTTCTCGGCTCCCCTGCTGAAAGTGACTAACTTTTAGTGGCTCAACACGGAAAACCCATGAGTTGGCAAAAAGTTAAAGTCCTAACATCCAAGCAAAACGCACCTCCGGAATGTTCATCTTGCATCATGTTGCTGATGGTGTTGTTTACATCTCCGACATATGATAAGCATGTTATATGCTCCTGTTGCATCCATGTCATTGTTCAATATGATTGCGGGGCTTGATTGCCATCAAACGACTCAGGGGGCCCCTTTGGTACCGCAAACTTTGGAGGATTTGGCAAGCCAGAACCAGACAAGTCCCGTCAGTCCACGGCATTTGGGGACATGAAGTTTCCTTGGCGACTCACCAAGCCACCTGTTTTCCAAGGACCGCCCAGTCTAGTGGCTCACTCGAATGGGAGTAGCATCCCTTGACCCATGCGCGGCATCTGCCCCTGAAGCCCGGCATCCGCATGGACTGGGATCGTGCGCATGGACTGGGATCCAACGAGGAGCCAGCCGCTCTTGGATACGGAGACTCGCAGCTGCACGGCCGGCGCCGCCGCTTTTGGGACCAAATTTCTGGGGGGGGGGGGGGGGGGACTACCCAGCAGCAAGACCACCAAGCAGTTTTCACTGCGCGCCAGGAAGATCAGGAGGCCTGGCCAATCGGCCGAAAGACCTGCTCGGACGATCTATTTTCCTAGCAAAACAACCAAAAAGGACACTTATGGTTAGAGGTTGTCGGCTCGGCCTTGTGCTTTCGGAGGGTGCCCGTTTTCGCCTTGGTTTGAACGGAAAAACCACAAAGAAGCCCAGCAGTTTTATGCCTCGAAGTTGCCAAGCCCCTCCTTGGACGCATGCCCTGTCTCGCACACCCCCAGCGCCGGCTGGGCCGGCCGGCCTTGCCCCACATCCTCCCACCGCGACTCTGTCCACCCGCTCTGTGGGTCCACTTCGGTGCAGCCGCCTCCAGTGTTCCACGGTTGAAAATTGACCGGCGCGCCCCTTTGCAAACACTCCCACCCCAAAATCATCAAAGTAGCCGCGAAACATTGGAGCAAACAAGGCGTGCTGTTTTTGTTGACACCAGTCAAGTCTTGTGTGAGCACGGGGTCCCCGTGGCCATCCAAAGCGTAACATCTTGACATCCATGTGTGTTCGAACCAGTCAACAGGCCTTCAGTACCTCAACTGTGGACCTTGGGAATTGTGATCTGGGTTATTGAGCACTTACCCCAGCAATGCAAAAATGTTCCATGCAAAATCCTACTCAGCGAAAGTAGACATTGCCCTCCTCCTCCATCTGGGCAAAATGTCAAAGGAAGCCTCAGGTGAGGAATTGGAGAGGTGGATGTTCTGTGCCGCCCATGCGTAAGCTTTGAAGTCTCAGGGGAGGAGCCCACATAAACGGGAACATGGAAGCACACCATGGAGATCTCACCTGGAAGGTAGACTTCCCACCGAGCCGTTTTTGAGTGCGAGGCCTTCTGCCAAGCTCGACTTAGCGCGTTCTAAACCGAGATGAAAATTCTTACGTGCTATGAGAAAGCAGTCATAAAACATGAGCACGGGAAAAACTGTTCTGAGAGAAGTGGAAGCCTCAGGTTGCGCATTTGATGACCGTGCCGATGTTTCTGCATCTCCATGCCAGCGGCGGTGTTGAGCAGTCGCCCTTTTCTAGGGGCAAAGAAAGGCCCTGCCACCCTCCCCAAAAGTTTCTCAGAACCTAATGGAAGGGTTCTGAGACTGGTAGTGGATTAATAGGGGGCTCCCGAAGGATGCCAAAAATGGGACACCCGCCCTACAGACCACCCAGTCCGGGGTTCGATTTGTGCGCCAAGGTCCCCTCCCCCTTGCGGCCACAGCGACACTCGGCAGCCATGGCCTCCCCAATGCTTCTGAGTGGAGTGCCAAATTTCCCCAAAGTACCCCAGCGATCTTCTCGTAGCTCTGTCAAGCAACTGAGTTTTAAGGGAAACCCTCCAACAAAGAATCAACAAATAATTCTGCCTCTCCGGGATTCTGCTCATCGGGAACATGAACACATCGCAGGAACTGGGGAAGTGAAAAAATAAGGCTTGATTCACCAAGTAAAGGACCTTCACGGTGAGCTCGTACCTCGAGAACACCCAGACTGGCCAATGGTTGCCAAGGAGCCCACAATCCGAGCGGGCTTAATGAGCTTAGCACTGAAGGCATTCCTTGAGGGACCTCTTTGGGATATCTTTTCGCTTCCCCCTATGTGACTCTGCTAGCCGACCGAAAAGGCAGTTAACAAAGATCCCGGTATGACAGTGCTCTTGCCACAACTTGCGGAACTTGTTGCTGCCTTTGAAAAGCAGTCACCTTGCTGCAAAACCTCTTTGGGTTCCATGTTAAGCAAATATGATATCTAGTATTCCCATGCGCTTGGGGGGTTCCAATGCGCTTGTAGGGGTTCCAAGTTACCTCAGACTGGCTCACTCCTGCCCCTTTGCGGACTTGCGCCCTGGTCACCAGTTCAGGCTGTGCTGGTTAGGTCGGCTCGGTGTTACGTCCTCCCCATAGATTCCGGAGGAAAACGCTCGGACCTGTTAGCACCTACCTCAGCAGCGGCTAAACCAGCTTAGAGTTCGGGGTGATGCCCTTCTCCATCAGGTCGCTGGGCTGACATGTCACCTCGAAACCCTGCCACCCATCCACCCAGCCAGCCACGCTCCGGCCTTGTTGGCGCTGCCGATCCAGTTCTGACACCCTCTGAGCCTAAAACAGCGATACCACCAGTCAGGCCAGGAGTGCGCCCTGGATGGACGCGAACCAGGAAAACTCCAGGGCCGGAGTCGCTCCCCAAATCCATTCCGAGCCGTCTGTACCGCAAGTTGCTGATTAAAGGGCTGAGTGCAAGCAACCATCTACCCTCGGTTCAAATCCCCAAACCCATCCAAACTACCAAGTAAGGATTATCATCACCTCAACCCCAAGCCTTACACCGAACTCTCCTCCCCCCCTCCCGTCAAAGGCAAGGAAAGAAACAAACCAAAGAAACAAACAAAGAAACAACACGCAAACTGCCAGCGGCGCCCCTCCCCCGTTCGCCCCGCTTCCACCCTTCCTCTTTCGCGCGGCCCCGCCGGTGCTTTTTTTTCTTCTTTTCAGTCGAGGAGGAAGCGGGTCTTTGGCTCCTCACCGGCTAAAGTCTCCACCCACGTAGCCAGTCGGCCCTGCTCAAACGCCACCTAAAGCGCGACGGCACGGAAGCCGTCGGTTTCGTGGGGGGATGGGGGGATGGGGGGATGGGGGGATGGGGGGGGCGGGAAAAAAAGCAACCAACCTGAAGTCAACCAAAATGGTCGTGGGTCAAAATCCAAATCGTACCCCCAGTGAACATCCCAATCCCCACTTAAATAGGTTCTAAAATGGGTGGTGAATTCACCTACCCCATTTTTGGTACCATTGGTTTTGACCCACAGCCAAATGTCTGCAGAAAAAACCTCAGGCCCCGAAGAGCGATCTATCGGGGAAAGAAAAAAACTCCGCCCAGGCACCACCCGCGCCCCCGGCGCAAAGGGCAAGGGCGCGTCGCCCTCCCAATCGCTAGGCGGCGTGGTGCTGGTGACCTGCGCGGGGGGGCAGGGGGTGAGGGCCGAGCTTTTCCGATTTCCACACGGGAGGAATCCAAGTCGGGGGCCCAATGGATGTTCTTCATCCCTCAACTTGGTTCGGAGATTTTTCTGCAAGAACCAGGGTTCTTGCACCCCAAGCCATCCGAACAAACAATGGAGCATGCCTTTTTTGGACCATGGATGGGGTTCCCTGGTGGAGAGTTGAACCACCGGGTAAAACAAGGATCGCCCTGTTTGTTTAAGCAAAACGACCAAAAAGGACACCTTTGTGCAAGCGGCGGGGATTCCCCAGCCCAGTGAAGCAAAGAAAAAGCGAAGGTTGAGGATGCCAAATATCCAAGAGGTCACCTGGTTGATTCGTTTACGAGATAAATCTCAATGGATTCACGTGCGTCTGACCACACTGAGGCTCGCTGAAAGCTAGGTCTGGATTCGTCAAAGGGAACTAGAAGGGTTCTCACGAGGGCTGGGGTAGGAGTGCCCCGGAACTTCGCCCCTGATACTCCTAGTTTCTTGGGGACTGGGCTGGCCTGAAGTGCGTTTTAATGCAGGGGCCAGGGCCGGGCGGGCCGGCCCCCAATGCAAATGGGGACTTTGCATCAGAGCCCTTGTAGGATTTTTTGGGGGGGTACAAGCCGCGCTCGAGCAGGCCGGAGGAATCTCTTTTTGTTTTGCGGCCAGGGCGCACGGCCATAGCACAGGAAGATGCCGGCCCGTTGGAAGATGGCCTGGACTCAAGGGCACTGGGGTTTAGGCTGGGGGAAATGGTCGCAAAGGGGTTCCAGGAGGCGCGTTTCTTCAGCATTACCTTGTTGACCCCTTGTCAGGTGGAGAGTCTGACAATGCCTGCTCCTGAATGGGTGCAGACATGTGTGTTCTCATCTTCTCATCGATTCAGAAGTTGCCTCTTTCAGCATTTGTGGGGGGGGGGGGGGGGGTAGGCATAGGCGCTGGACCGAAGAATGAAAACCTCCGAACAACAACCCCTCGCGAGAGTCACCAGTTGAGGAGAAATCTCTGGGGTGGCTGCGTAAATCTCCCACAACCCCCCAAAAATCTTTTTGCAGCCCCCTACTGAAAATAAGAACACCTAAAAGCTTGCCAACAACTGTGAAGCTCCTTTGTCTTGTGAGTTGGCAACCAGGGAGCCAAGGTATGCAAAAGAGAATGTGTGCTTCAACACCTAGAGAAGGGGCTCATCACGCTAACAACAAGCAACGTGACACACCAGCCTCAAGTAGACGGGCACACCGTGGCGTACACGTGCGCTTGGTGCCACCAGAAAGTAAGACAGCCCTACTTAACAGTGACCCGTTGGTTCCAAAAGCGCGATGAGTCATCACCTCTCAGCACATTCATAGGCTTGCAACCCTCCCCCAAGCCCTTCCTGCCCCCGTTTCCCCAAAGCAACAAGGCAGTGGGCCTTGGAATCCTACTGTGGATGGACGAAATCCTGCACCACCTAAGAAACCCTGGAATTCTGAATCCCCTCTAAATACCAACAAACGCTATGGTTTCAACCATGGGTTCAAAGTGGTGCGATTTCTGGATTTAGCAACCACCCACCGCATGTCATTCACACGGGCCGCACGCGCGGGGACTGTGACTAAGCGCCCCACGTCGCAGGCGTGGTCGTGGCCGCAGAAGGTGGCCTTGATCTGGCCCGAGCGCACGAAGGCGTCGAAGATGCCTCAGCCATCTCTTGCTTGACGTTGGAAGGGGAGCACAAGCTTATCAATTTTAGCAGTTAAGTGGGATTTCCCACCAAACCACAATAAGCAAAACTTATCAATTTTTAGCAGGCACTAAACCACAATAAGCACTTTTTTCAAATCTTAGCAGTTCAGTGGGGATTTCAACCACTAAACCACAATAAGCAAAGATGTTCAAATGTTAGCAGTTCAGTGGGGATGCCAACCACTAAACCACAATAAGCAAAAGGTAAAATGTGTCCCAACAACTACCATGATCTGGCCCAACCCCTCGCACAAAACACGCTTCGACCACATGTGCTTCAAGAAAATTCCTGGGTCTGTTCAAGTGAGCAAGAGCCCGGTTCTTCCAGCAACATGGTGCGCATCACTTGCTGTGTCTCCTGTCGGAAGTGAGCACGTGGCGGAAGCTGAAGCTGGGAAGGCTCAACAAACTGTCCCCACATTGGTCCAACAAAACGCATGCACAAGCCTAAGGTACGTGAGCCTCAATGTACAATCCGTCTTTTCTTTAATCCCCTCCCCACCCCACCACCACCCCCACATTAATCCCCACCTCAATCCCCCCCCACTTTCATCCCCACCCCCACCACCCCCACCAGCCCCAAATCTCCAAAGCTCTCTCTGCTTTTTCCACAAACACCACCCCCACCGCCCACCCCCATGGCGCACCAGGCGCCGCTGTTCAGCTTGGAGCAGCCCACCGCCCGGTGGAAGCCCAGCGCCCGCACCAAGGAGGGCACCCAGCACCAGGGCCGAGGCACCATGCCCGCCTCGCGCGAGAGGCATCGATTTGGGCCCCAAAAGGTGTGGGGGGGTGATGGTGGGGGTGGAGGCGGACAACACTGGTCGGGTCGATTTTGCCACCTCCTTCAGTTGGGGTCTTGGTTTTTCAGGGTTCTTCATGGTTCCTGGCGGCAAAATGGACTCTGGGTGTCCGTGGTTTGAAGTGGCAACTGCTGGCTTTCTTATATGAGTGCACCCTGCTAGCAAGACAAAGGGTTAGGCCGTCAGCTCGTCAGCAAGGCAGGCTTGGGCACGACTCAAAACGCCAAGATCCGTATTCTGCGGCTTTGCGAAGCGAAAGCCAAGGCCCCTGAATGCCGAGCGGCCCGCAGCGCCGAGTCAAAGAGCCCCTGGGTGCCGTGCAAGGGCGTCAAGCCCCCGTACTCAGGAAGCCTTGGAAGGGGCACTCTCAAACCGGAAACCAGGGAACCCCCCCGCCCTCAGAAAGGACCTTCATGGGCGAGCGCGCTTTACCTTGTGATTTGCCCACATGTTGTGGAGAACCAACTCCTTTTTCTGTGGTACCAACCCAAAAGCAGTCTTCCTCAAAGGACACTGTGTTGGAGTCCCTTGAAGGCGGAGATAAGCCGCCCACAAAAACAAGAAAAGGCATCCAACCAAAACCCAGACTCGGAAATTCATTCTCTGAGCACCCATTTCCTTTGTACCCATTTTCTTGGTTTACCTTTAGGTAATCCTTTCTATACCTTTGAATCCCTCCAGAAACTTGGGTGCTGTAGATCCCCTGGCAAAAAGTTAAAGTCTTAAAGATCCAACCCCTGGGTTTTCCACTGAATCAGCCCGCCCGGCCCAGCTGCGGGATGTGGAAGAACGCCAGGCCCGGCGTTTTCGGCGGCAGCCGCGCCGCCAAGTCTTCGAAGCCTCGGACGCAGTCCGCACCGAAGGTCCCGTAGCCTAGGCATCCCAGGCATTGCGCTCCCAGCGCCGTGTTGGTTGGAGAAAGGGGCTGCAAAAAGGAAACTGGACGGGTCCGTCTTTCTGGGCAGCTTCATTGGTGGTGTTTGATTTAACCAGGACATTGGTCCGTGCGTTTTTGAGAATGCCCCTTTGGTTTGGTTGGAGAGTTTGGGGCTGCAAAAAGGAAACGGAACTGTCGAAAAACCCGAAACGTGCAAAAAGGAAACTGCATGGGTCCAGGGGAATTCGCATAGTGCAATTCAGCCCCCCGGCGCTGCTGAAGAATCAGTCCATCTTAAACAAAGAGTAAACACACACATTTCTGGGCTGCCCTCAGATCCCCCACTGAAAGTGGCTAACCTAAATACGAACTCTAGCACGCTAAAAAGCCAAGGGAAACCCAGCGCATGGCAACCAGCAGTTTTAAACGGGGGGGTCCCTCCTCACTGGCTGAGTGGATGGCCCAAAAAAATCCAAACTTTATATTTACCACTAAAATGGTCTTCCCAAAAAGTTTAAAGTTCATGAACTCAGGAAGTGAGCCTACTTGTTCTTTCGAGAACTCCCCCTTGTTTGATGTTTTTTGTGCAGGGAAATCAAAAAGCAAACCCACCATTTTGCGGGTGAAGCCCAAATGGAAACCGCACCCAAAATTTACAAGGGGCCCTTCCCCAAGAAAACTCGTGGAACATTGAGGGTCTTTTGGGGTACCTTCTGGTAAACTGCGAGAGCGTAGCAAGGTTCCCCACATTCTGCCTTTGAACATCACGCTGGGCAATAGAGGGACTCTGCCTTCCGGCGACTCTTTCAAGAACCTCTGAATCGGCCGTTTGAGCAGTGTTTCTGCGTTTGTGAGCCCTCCCACAAGGGGCGTTCCCTTCGAGTCAGACGGGAAACAGTCAGCTTTGAAAAGATTGGTCGAATGCAAGGTCAAACAGGCCGACGCGCCTCAAAGCCGACTCTTTGGTTGGGAGGTCGTGTGTCCCCTTCAGAAGAAAATTGCTGCGCTTCTTGACCCGCAAAGCAAGCAAAGAAAATACGAACCTGCTGAAGAATGTAGATAAGCATGGGTTCTTGTTTGTCAATTGGACATGTTGCCTATGTCAGAATGCCTTCAGGGGAGCCAATGAAAAAACGAACTGGTCTCATCGGTTCATCCCCGCATTCCCTGCAATTGCCATCAGCAAGTGAACGCTTTGGGGGAAAAAGGCGTCCAGGCGGACGCCTTGAGACACCTGGAAGGTTTGAAAAGGAAAGCAAGGCGAAACCAGCTGGGGGCCAAGTCATCTTCAGACCCAACTCCGGAGTGTTTTTTCTATCGGACCCAGGGTCCCACCCACTCCAACTCGGAGCCCCGGGTTGATTATGGAGAAAAAAACGAAACGCTGGGGCCTTTCTTCCCTTTTTTTGCGGCGGGTCGCGAAGCACAACCAACATGCTTTGCTCCGCCAAGGCGCGGATCTCGGGATCCGGGCTGTTGCCCCCCGAGTCCTTAACTCGGAGAAAGCAGACCTTCGGGCTGCCATTCGTGCGCGCGTGTCCTCCCAAAATGGTTGTGTACTTGTTGGCTTCCTTGCTTCGCCATGGGCCATAAGGCTTATAAGCCGATTTTAAGGGCTCTAATCAAAATAGGACTGATAGTCCGATACTCCGGCTTTCCACTCACGCTGCGCATGGGTGGGGAGGGCAGATTTGGGGCAGCTCCTTCAACCAAAACCTAGACCCTTGAACAACCATAGCTTTCTAGCCTGTATGCCAAGCGGGTCGATCACTACGTTTCACCCACGAAACTAGTGAAAACTGTCCAACCTGTAGTCTGAGTTTCCACTGTTTCGACCCACGAAAGGTGGAAAGCCCTGCGCTGCAATCACCTCTGGGCCTTTCTTAGTTCTCCGGCATCTAAGATGCCCAACCAGTGGAGGCATGCCGTTCCCGAACTTACGACGCGGACGACGTGTTGTTTCTCCTTGGAAGCTTGCGAAATTGTCGACCCGCAGCTGGCACTTCGGCAAACTTGCTGCACGCCGACCCGATTGGCCAGCCTCCGGAACCTTTGTACCCTATAGGAACGCAGCCTCAAAAGGGAAAGCCATTGACTTTCTCGCTCTCTGCAGCACCCCGAGGAAGGGCGCCCTCAAAGAGAAATGTTCGGAGCTACGACAAAAGCCCTCCCCTTGGCCTCGCGGCAAAAATAGTAGAAAAAAAACACATGTTCCACAAAAATGTCTCAGACCAAGCCCAACCTCCTTGCGCCAAGCCACAAAGAACCAGAGGCGGAGCGCGTCCTCGTCTGCCTCCGCCCCAAAACCGATGGTCATCCTCGGCTCGAGCCCCAGTAGAGCTGGGCCAAGCCCCCACGTAAGCCTGCAGCGTAATGCTCTTGTTGAGGGCAGTGGGAAATGACAACTTCTGTGATACAAAGACGAACCCCCTATAAAAACAGGAAGTTCCCTTGTATCGCAGAAGTGGGGATAAACCCCTTGATCCCACAACCCTGCTCTTTTTTTCTTCCTCATTTTTAGCTCCCCTTTCAAGATGGCCAGGGTCTGTCTCCCCAACCACTCCGAGCTTGGGAGTTTGTGAGAAGTGACGCCATCTCGGAAGAAAGTTTCAAGATGGGCTAGCCGCTCTCCTCGACGAGGTCGTCATGCTCTCCACCGGAATATTGTTAGTGCCGGGTTTCGCCTGTCCTGAAACAGGATCCATTTCGTGCGCATATGCCTCCCAACTGGCAACCTGTCCACTTCGAAACACAGCAACTTTTGACCCGCTTGGGCTGGACCAGCTAGCCCACGCACTCCGACAAATTTATGGTGAGAGCCCAGCAAGAATCTTCGGGACATCGTTCTCTCAAGCCGAGACCTTTCTCACCCCTTCAAGCACAAGTTGGGTGTCTGACCTAACGCATTCCCTGAAAATGGAAAAGAAATCCCCTTCAGCCAGGCTTCCGAAATCAAAAATCAGAGGCCAAAATTTAGAAGGACAACTAAACGAACCCCGCCAGTCAAGAGCGGCGATGGTTTTCATCGCATCAAGAATTGAAAACTTTCATGAACATTTTAGTGCACGGGCTGCACTGAGCTGTTAAACCTGGAGCGTGATCGACTGTGGCTCATCCTGGCCTGGGAAGATGCACGACTGTCCCACGATTGCACCTTGCTGCTCGCTACGGACCGCCACCCATGCGTTGGCCAGATCACGGCCACCAACGACGACCGCCTCCTGAAAGGCGAAGCCCGTCGCTCGTCATGCCGTGCTCCTGACGCCACCTGGCCGTGTGCCAGAGACAGCTGCCACGGGTCGCACTGCCCGCTGGCGTTTCTGCACGCGAGCATCAATCCCAGACGGAACGAATGCCATGGCGCTAAGGATCCCGCAAAGAGTCCAAATGGCTGAAGCATTCTTCGCAGATGGTGTGTTCCCCGTCAAGCCACTGATTAATGACCTTCCCGGCCCATGGAAACACCATCGCGACTTTCCTAGTCGCCAACCGGCACTGACTCATACACCAGCTCTCTCCAAGAGTCTCGGCCTGCCTGCCAGGTCAACGCCTCGAGGCCGGCCCGCTCCACGTAGCAATGGCCCGCACCTGCTCCACCTCCATGCGCGCGCGGCACGCATAGTACAGATCCCAGGCTTCAGCCGGCCCCACTCCATCTTGAACCAACACAGCACGGTTGGCCCGCAACCCACGGGAATTGGAAGCCTCCCCGCTGTTGCTCCCACCTTTCACAATCAGTAGCCACACAAGGAACCTCACCCAAAATTGGGGATTCGAAAGGCCGATTCCTCACCACCGACCTCCAAAGCTGCATGGCCTAGCCCCGTTCTTCGCGGGCCACCAATCCTGCCATGCGCGCCTACCAAAAAGGGTGTGCCAGTTTGGCTCAGGTAGCAATTGATGATACACCCAATGCCTGCCAAACTCTAAACATGGCATAGAAATGAACCCCCCGCCCCCCAAAGCTAGGCTGGAATTACGACCCCAGCAAAACATGAGATCTTTTTTGCCTGGTTAGTGGAGAACAAAGGAACCCAAAAAAAGCCCCAAAAAAAAGAACAGTCCCGCGAGATCTCTGCCACACATCCCCCCCGGAGCTGAACGTCGCGCGTCGTGTGGTTGAAGGACATCGCGCCTTTGGACGCGCAGCCCGGCAGGTCGTAGATCTCCGGGGCCGGCGCGGTGGACATTGCGGGGCTTGAGGTCTTTGGGAGGTCTTTGGGGGGCTTGGGAGGGGCTTTGGGGGGCTTTGAAAGGTTTGGGGGGGGCTTTGAAAAGGTTTGGGCTTTGGGGGTTTGGGGTGGGGGGGGGGGGGATTTGCGGCTTGCTGCAAACTGTGAAACGTTATGCCGTCAACGTGGGCGGCTGCTTGGCTACGGCATGACTCCGGCGGCTCCTCAACTCCCCAACTACCACCAACGGCAGGGAAATGCACCGCTCGTTCACGAGTTCACTTTTTATTTGCCGCGACCCGGATCTTCTGCCCGCTCTTTTTTTTGTCGAGGTAACCTCTTTAGGCAAGGCTTGCCAAACGTTTCGGTTCACCTGGGCGGCTTAGTGGGTTCCCACATCCGAAGCACTCCTTGTCGAAACGTGGTGCGGCCAGGGCTGGTTTCAAAAACTTTATCCCCCCCCCCCCGCCTTCAGCAGATCCTCCCGGCTCCAGGGGGACTCATCGTCGTCGTGGTTCCCAGGCACAAAAGTCCAGGGCAGCCTGAGACGCATAGGTGTCCTTTTTGGAAAATAGATGGCCCTGGTAGATGATTGAACCAACAGGTAATTCAGGCCACTCTACTTTTTTAACCAAGCTAACCAAAAAGGACACATCTGATGCGCGGTTTGTTGGCGTTGTTGAGCCGAATGAGTGGAAAAAGCCGTCCCTCTTTTGCGGATGTGTGTTATTCTTTTCGGGGTACTCATTTCTGGGTCGTTTGCACAAGAAACCCAAGCCAATCATCTTGCGCAGATGGTTTGCCACTTTGTGGTCCCACGTCCTTTCAGAGAACCTCCAGATTGTTGTTTGTAAAGGTGATCCGTAAACAGCCTAATCGATTGACCCGCCAACATTGGAGGTCCAACGCCTTTCCCACTCAGTGTTGCCTTGCTTTGTGCCATTCGTAAAACTGAAATGATTTCAACCAAAAAGTTAGTCTAAAGATCCAACCCAAAAGCAATCAACACTGCCAACGTCCTTTACATTTCCAACGCCACCCAAACAAAACGGCACTAGGGTGCGGCGCTCCAAAGCGTGTGGAGCCTTGCACATGACTGGTCCCCCACCATCCCTCGGGTCTTTGGGCCAGGCCCCCGCACCCGGCGCGCTGAATGGGCGCCAACAGCTGCTCCAGGGCAGGGCGCCAGGCGCTCCTGCGGGGCTTTGAACCGTGAAGAGTTACACTCCATCAGGCTAACATTGCACGGGTGCGGGGGTGCGAGGGTGCGGGGGTGCGTGTGCGTGCGTGTGCGTGCGTGTGCGTAGGTGCGTGGGTGCGTGGGTGCGTGGGTGCGTGGGTGCGTGGGTGCGTGGGTGCGTGGGTGCGTGGGTGCGTGGGTGCGTGGGTGCGTGGGTGCGTGGGTGCGTGGGTGCGTGGGTGCGTGGGTGCGTGGGTGCGTGGGTGCGTGGGTGCGTGGGTGCGTGGGTGCGTGGGTGCGTGGGTGTGTGGGTGCGTGCGTCCGTGGGGGTGCGTGGGGGTGTGTGGGGGTGCGTGGGGGTGCGTGGGGGTGCGTGCGGGTGCGTGCGGGTGCGTGCGGGTGCTTGCGGGTGCGTGTGGGTGCGTGTGGGTGCGTGTGGGTGCGTGTGGGTGCGTGTGGGTGCGTGTGGGTGCGTGTGGGTGCGTGTGGGTTCGTGTGGGTGCGTGTGGGTGCGTGTGGGTGCGTGTGGGTGCGTGTGGGTGCGTGTGGGTGCGTGTGGGTGCGTGTGGGTGCGTGCGGGTAAGTGCGGGGGTGCGGGGGTGCGGGGGTGCGTGGGTGCGTGGGTGCGTGGGTGCGTGGGTGTGGGTGCGTGGGTGCGTGGGTGCGTGGGTGCGTGGGTGCGTGGGTGCGTGGGTGCGTGGATATGGGCGTGGGTGCGTGGGTGCGTGGGTGCGTGGGTGCGTGGGTGCGTGGGTGCGTGGGTGCGTGGGTGCGTGGGTGCGTGGGTGCGTGGGTGCGTGGGTGCGTGGGTGCGTGGGTTTGGGACGAAACCCTTAGTGTGAAAGGGATGGAGAAGTCGTTTTGGTTGAGCTTAGGGGAAAGCTACAATTCAGGGAGAACCCTGCCTCCCAGCCAACTTTGCGTGCTCGGGAAGGGAATTGTTGATCTCAATGCTAGAGACCCAAACAACTGTGGCTTTTCTTCGGCCTCCCCCTCGCAAAAACGGGAGGCACCCTCAAATACTAATGTCGCGGATGGGTTCGAAATCCAAGTCTGTTGGCTCGAAACGGGCAATGGTTTTCACACAAGGCAGCCTCTCCACAAAGCATGGCGCACCGCGCCCTGAGGCCCTGGAAGCCCCATGATTCTTGTGAGGGGGCCTTCTTCCCGGCTGCACTGCGCCATGTTTGCGCCAGAAATGGGGAGGCGCAGCCGCACGCGAGAGACCCTGCCTGTCGCCCAGGGCTCCAAATGGCCTGGGAGTGTTTGCGAGAGAGAATCCAGGCACGAATGTGTTTGTGAGCCAAATTTGGGCGGGTCCCACGCGAACTTGAGAACTCTTTCAAAATCAGGGCACGCTGAATTCACGCGCTCTTTGTCCGTAGATGTGAGCAAAAGATTCAAGTTATCTTAATGAGCCCTTATTTGTCTCAGGCAGTGGGATTCTCCAAGGTATCGTGGAAGGGTCTCCTTTTTTGTGAGTGTCCGGTTGTTTTGCCTGCAACTTGCAAAGCAGCCCGGCACTCCCAAAAAGTCCCTTTCAAACACCTCGGTTTGGTGAAAGCTTCTAAGATTCTAAGGCTTATCAAGGCACCCAACCTACCCCCACCATCCACCACCCACCATCCACCACCCACCCGACAACCCCACCGCCCTTGCGCCTCCCATCCAAAATGTCCCCGGTGAGCACCACAAAGTGCACCGCCGCGTTGCTCAGCGCAGCCTCCAAGATCGCCACGTCACCCGAGGTGCTGTAGCCTGGCCCCAGCAGAGCGCGTCGCGCGTAGGCTGGATAGCTCACGGCGGGGGGCGGGGGCGGCTGCCACCGTAGATTGCTTTCCTTTCGACCTCCATACAAACGTCACAAAATGTGGGTTCACGTGCCGCTGTTCCGCAGGTCAAAGGGTGTTTTTTTTTAAAAAAAAAAAATCTGGGGGAACTCAAGAGGTGCTGCTGTGGAAAGCAAGATCGCAAGGCTCAATCAAAAGAATTCGATACCAGGACAAATGTTTGGATGCTCTGCGTGTGTTGGCCTTCTTGGGTTCCGTATTGGAAACAATTCCTGACTGGGAGCTCCGGTGATGAGTGGGGTTGTTGTATCTGATTCGGAATGCCCAATCGTGTTAATATCTCTCAGAACGACGCGTCGCCTTGGGCTCAAATTGCCCAAGACACCTTGACCACCCTTGCACCCTGAGGAAGGAAATCCAAACTCCGAACCAAGCAAAACGTCAGGGCATCCTCGAAAATTTCTCCAAATTGAGGTTTCAAGAAGGAACTAATCCCCCCCCCCCTGCCCCTCACGTTTGAAACTTTAGGACCCTCCGCAAGGCCTGCGCTCAGCTGACTCCGAGAGCGGCCGACCGAAGCGCCCCGCCTGGCTCCATCTCCACCCGCCGCCCCTGCGAACATGCTCCATGTTCTGCGGAGAAAAAAGGCCCAAACAAAAGAAGGAAAAAACACTGCGGAGGCGAACCTTCTAGGCAGTGTTTGTTTCCGCCTGCCAAGGAGTCCTCCCCAAGAAACCTGCTTGGGTGTTGATGGGCCTCCGGGCACCAGAGGATTTATGCTCAGTTGGTTCAGGTGGGACCCAGAAATCAAAGGTGATCACCGTGTGGTGCGAAAAACAACTCTGTTGAAAGGCCGAATCCGCATAAATGCCTGAAAAAACTGGCGATCTGCAGGGGTGGCGCTTGGAAACCAAGCGCCCCGGCATGATGTTTTTTGCAAACATCACACTCAACCAGTCCAGGGCGCAATTCTCTGTATCTTGCTTGGATTTTCATTACACAGTTGCATTCATCTAGCCAAAGTTCGACAAGTAATCCCCAAATCGCAGATTAGTTCGCTTTTGCTCACCCGTTTTTGTTGCGAAACGCCACTGCGGTATGTAAAGTGTAGTGAGAAGATATGAAGCTGACTGCCACTTCGATCGAATCGCTCTTCCTGTGCCCACCATCCACCTCCACCCAACCGCTTTCAACTCCGCCAGGAGCGTCCCTAGTTTTGGAGCTGTTGCGTCGTCTTCATGTTCGACGCTTGGATTCCACAACCCAGCCTGGAATCACATGACTGTCCTTGGATGCAAGCCGGAACCCCGTTCCAAACACGGGTCGCATCACAGTTCATCCGAGGTCCTTGGTCAATATCACTCGGGCTTGGTGCTCCGTTTTCATCCAAGAATTGGAAAACGAGCCCTGAACAAAGAAATGGCAAGATGCCTCTTGTTTTTCCACAACTAGAAACCCTATGCCAGGTTTGGATTATCACCTCCGCCGCTCGCCTTGGGGCAGTCCCAATAGCGGCACCCCGCCGGGAAGCGGTGCACGTCCGTCAGCTGCAGCACTCGCACTCCGCCGCCGGCGCTGGCGTTGTTTGGCAGTGGCACGTGGCCCAGATCCTCCATGGCTCGGAAGCGCCGGGCGCACAAAAGCCACTGGCTTTCCGCGGGTGGCTTTTCTGTGTGTGTGTGTGTGTGGTTGTGTGGCAGTTTGGTTGCTTTTCTGTTGCTGGGCGTGGGTGACTTTGGGGGGGGGGGCGAAAACTATCTGCAGATCAGACTTCCAACTAGGGCCTGCTGCAGGCGATTCTGGCATGCGAACGGCATGTGCACGTACAAGAAAATAGTGTAGAATAGCCTTGTTTGAGCATCCGGACGGCACAAAATTTCACGCAGCAAATCGAGCAAATGGAAACGTTCAAACCTCACCCGCCTTCGGTATTCGTGGTTCTGGCACGGCTGCCAAGGATCATCCAGGCCCCCCTCATTTTCGAGAAACCCGGGTGGCCGCGGATCTCCAGTGGCCGCTTCTTCACTCCCACGTCTCTCTGGAAACGCAAAAAGCTCCAGGAGCTCAGCGGTCTCAGGATAGAGTTCGTTGCTGGGAATTCTGACTGGCCAACCCCTGTGCCACAAAAACGAAATCAAAGAACCATCACAGAAACAATACTCGTTTGGCTGCTTGGTTTCTCACATAGGCCACAAACTCGAAAAACAATCGAAATGAAAACACATCACGCAAGCGGTTAGCCAACCAGGTGCTCCCCTGGAACCGCCAGGCCACCACGCTGACCCCGGTAAGCACCACAGGCTTGCCCGGGCCTCAGACAACGGCGGCTGACACATCATACCTTTTTTGAGGTAGGCGGCCCTTGATCAAGAATCAAACTGGCAGACAAACCACAGTCCCAACTAAAACGGAATCAGTACCAAAACAGCCTGTACTGTTTCTGGCCCCACGATGCGCACGTGAATATCTGGGTGCAGAAAATCCCGAGCAAAGGTATCGTGATGGGAACGGCCTCGGAAAAAAATACCTGCACCAATGCCTCGTAAAAACCCAGGGCAGTCTGAGCACCACGCCTGTTGGCCCAGTTCGGAATCGAGTGCGGAATTCCTGCACAAGCCGCAAGGACAGCAAAGTTGCTCCTGAACTGCACCCTCCATTACTTTTGTTCTTTGCACTTGCAAGACCCTAAAACCTGCTTCACAGCGCGAGCCTTCGGAAAAAATGCGTCAGCACGCAGGCTGCTGGTGCCTCGGCCGAAAGGCTGCTGCCGTCGAGCCGCTGAAAGTCGCAACCAGCAGCCAAACCCACCTGAGAATCACGGAGTCACATCGGGGAAGAACTCGCAAACACTCCAACCCGGACCGTGGCTATTGCCACCTAGTCCCAAACAACAAAGTTCTTGCATCTTTGTGTTTTCCTTGAAAACCCGTAGCCTGCCAGCACAACGGAGGGTCCCGGCAGCGTCCTTGCAACTGAGCCTTCCCCACTCGCACACTGCGCTCAAGTCTCTCCTAGAACTGCTTTGCTTGAGCGGCACCGCGAATGCAATCCGCATGGCACATCGCATGAAGACGCATCTTAAGCATATATATCTACGTACGAGCAAGTGTTTTGTGCTTCACGCCCTTCGCACGCTGCGCCCCTGACTTCTGCTTTGCTGCCGGGTGAACCGCGCCACTACGGACTTCCAAGTCTTGCTGTTGCGACGCCTACGTGTGTGATGCCTTGGGAGATCACAGGTCCGCTGGTTTCGGGCGGGTGTCCTGTGCAGGCGCGCTTGAACGCGCAGCCGCCAGAGTGTGTCGGGAGCAGTGGTCAGGGACTTGAACATCGCCAGTTGAAGTCGTTGCTAACGGCCTGCCCTTGGGGAGCGGCGCTCAACTTGCCATTGGCACTACCCTTGTGTCGGCTTTGACATCCGCAGCCGCCCCTCGGCGGGGGCCGCACTGCGCCTTGCTCGGAGGACCAAGGGGCGCCCGTATCCCGAGCTGATGCAAGACAATTCCAGGACGCCGCCTAGTTGCGCTTGCCATCAAGGTTGGCGGGCGGTTGGGGGTCGAAGCCGTTGATTTGATCCAGCACCTTGCAAAAGCTCGGGCCTGCGCCTCCGCAGCTACCGCCACCTGGACGGCGGCGGCGCTTGTGAGTGACTTGTTTTTTTTCAGCACGCCTTTTTCCATCGCCTGGTTCTGCCCCCGGATGTCCCCGGCCGTGCACAAAGGGTCTTGGCGGCTGTTTTTTCGGAGGCCAGCTCCTCACGGGCACAAAGCTGGCCATTTATATCTCGGCGGCCCCCGGCCCAAGAGCCCGTCACCGAGGCAGACGGCTGCCGGTGCTCGGCGGGCAAGCGGGGTCGTCGGTGGCCGCTGGAGCGAGGAGGCTCGGCCCCGCTCCTGGGAGGCTGCGCCTGCCCTACGCCCGGCCGTTGTTGCAGCTCTGGTCGCTCGGTGGCCCCCCTTTGCAGCCCAGCTTTCGTTTGCCGAGTCCTTACTGGAGGGGCGGGTCGCTGCTGGCACGGCGGCGGGGTTGGCCCGCAGAGTCCAAGGGCGAGACCAAAGTGGTGTCGACAGCCAGCTGGGCACCGCCATGCAAGGACAACCCATTCGCAATGACCTCAAGGCGCCAGTCATCGACGTGGTCAACCACCAGGTTGAGATCGGCCTAAGCGGGTGTTGGTGGTCACCCGGGCCCCAGCCTCACGGCACACCCGGGCGGCCGCCCGTTCGAGAGCGCACCCGCGACTCCGCAACAAACCCGCCCGAGAACACGCTGCACGGCGGTCGCCAAGGGAGTCCAAACGGCGATGGCACCGGCAAGTGTTTTCGGTGATGGGGAGTGGGAGCCGGAGGCGCCGAAGAAGGACGATCCGGAAAAGGTGCGAGGGGGCGGTGAGCTCAGGGCTGGTGGGGAAAGCGGTCAGAACACGGCCAGCGAAGCGACTCCAACAGCGCCAGCGCAAAGGGGTCAAGGCCTTCCAGGGCCACAGTGGTATGCCGCTTCCACCCACGGGCTGCGTCACCGCTGAGAAACAAGCTGTCAGCATCATCGAAGCGCGCGGCCGGCAAAGCGCCAGCCAACACATCCTGCCAAGTAGGGCTCCCAGCTGCGGTCCGCCAGCACGAGGGCCGCCGCGGCAGCAGCTCGCAAGGAGGGGGCATGGGCCTCAGGCAGGCTGACGTGGGGCAGGACTGCCCGAAGAACCGAAGGCGTTTGCCTTTCCAGAAGGGGCAAGCTGCCGGCCCAACACGCCTAATACGCAGCAGGGGCGACGGCGGCCGCAGAACGTAGACCGAGACCACCAAGCCGAAAAGGCAACCTTGCAACGCCCAACGCCTGCGGGGGCAACGGGCCTGCCTGAAGCAGGGTCGACAAACAACTCTCAGGTGGGAGAAAACGCACCAACAGCAAGTGCGGAGATTCCAGGCAGCTCCCGGCCAGAAGCGTTCCAGACCCGCGTCTTGCCATGGCTCAGGCGGATGCATGCAGTGCGCCACAAAGTCGCAGACAGGCGATCATGAAGGAAGCGGACGCGGTCGGGCCGAGCGACGATTTAAACATCATCGAGGTAGGCCAACAGCAACTTGTTGGGCTCCAAACCAGCTCTCCCCCCTCAGCCTGAGAAATGGTATGGGCCGTACCTTCAGAGTCATGCCACACGAACCCAGACGCAGAGGCGTAGAACAAACGGACGAACGGGAGCCGTGACACGTTGTCAAAGGCACCAACCCCATCCACAGAAAGCACAAGCTCAACGGCCGAAGCCAAGGCATAGACGAGCGAGTCCGCCCCAGCCCAGGTGGAAAGGGCAAACTGGTGCGGGCGGCACGTTTCAAGAAAAGCGGGGGCGTGTTGCTGAGCCAAGGTGTGAGTGACCAGCCGCCGGAAGAAGTCCCTGACGACAATGCCCCGGACACGGCCGGACGGCTTCTGCAGAGCGACCAGGCGACCTGAACCCAGCACGGGCCAGCAACTGGGCGACCTTCCAAAACCGATCCGAACCAACCTCACTATCCAGCATAAGCCGTGCTGATTCGGTGGTGAGCCCGGAGGGTCCTGGGGCGGCACCCTTCTTTGCCCGGCGCAAGTTGGCTAGAAGGATGTCCCGGCACAGGGCGGCGGGCGCAGCAGGCTGGAAAGACAGGACCTCGGACGGCAGAGCGGAGTACGGGGCCGCAGGTCGCCGGGCTGGGTCCCGAAGCTCGGCCAGGGTGGCCTCGTTGCCAGGCGCCAAGGGGGCTGCGGTCAGGCCCAGGTGCACAAGGCGGCTCTTCTTGTCGGCCGTATCCAGTGAGGCACGTGTGCGTACCAGCACGCGTGGACAAACCAAATTGGAAAGGAGCACAAGGGTAAACGCTGCTCGAAAGACTGTGCGGCCAAACGTCGCAGAAAGTCACTGACAACAATTCGACGAACCCGACCGTAGCGCTTTTGAAGCCAACCATGCGGCCAAGGCCGAAAGCTACTGCAACGAGTACAAGGGTCCCTTGGCTTGCGCCAGGGCCTGGGCGGCTACAAGAACTACACGGCAACACTCGGCAGTAGGGCCAAGCACCCTTGCCGGCGCGCCGGAGGTTGGCAAGCAGCAAGCCGAGCAGCGGACGGACATGACGCTCGGGCTGAAAATCGAGCAGGGCGGGGGCGATGTCCCCATAAGGTTCAGACGGCCGGCGCTCAGGATCGCGAAGCTCAGAAAGGGTTGCCTCTGCAAGCGGGGCAAGCGGGCCGGCCACGAGGGCGGAACTGGCAGCTCACAGCTCATCCACGCGGAAAAGGGTAGTCGCCCGCTCGGCACGCCGGTCGGCGCTGGGCGCTATGGCAGGAAGGGGGCTGCTGGGGCCGGAGTCGGCGCCCCAGCCAGGTCGGCTTGGGCAAGAAGCCCAGCGGCCGGCATTGAAAGCAAAGATGCGGTCGCGCCACTCAGCCTTCCGAACCGCGCGGAAGCAACATGCGGGGGAGCAAAGGCCAAAAAGCCCAAGCGCGATATGATATAGAGCGACATCTTCGCGGCCTGCATCTGCAATGGCCTCCAGCTGCCTTTTCTCGCGTCGTCTGTTTTGCAAACTCTTCAGGAAGTTCCCGCCTTGGAATGGAGACACTCGTGCCTTTTCAGTCGGTGCTGGAGCAATGCCTGTTGCCAAACCACTATGTCCCTGCCTCCGCTCAGGAGGCGTTGGTCTCAGCCTTCGACGTGTGTCCGGAAACACGAATGTGCCTGTTGACATCAACCAGCAGGTCACGTGCTGCTAGTTGAGCCGCTCTCCCTCAAGGAGAAGTTTGTGTTGCAGCTGCTCGATCGCTGCAAACTGGGTTGTTTACGATCCCTCAATCACTGTGGCTGCGTCGGTGTCTTTTGGGTTGGGCTTGTTTCGCGGACTCGGCTCTCGACGCGTGTCAGGCAACACGAACGTGCTTGCCGAATCCAACAAGCAGGTCGTGTTGTCGGTGACCATGACAGCTGCAGGCCTGGCTTGGTTATCCAAAAATGAACGAACTTGTAAAGCTAACGCTCAGCTCACTTAGCAAGGCGGCATGCGCGAAGGTGCGGCGGGGAGAGAGGCCGCCAAATGCCGCCAACTGTTGACAGCCGCGGCGGCGGCGCCAGGCACAGCGGAAATATTCCGGGCGCTGGCTGACCCCGAGGGGGGCCCGCCTTTGCACTGCGGGCGGTGTTGCGCCTGAGACACTGCATCCTCGGTTGGCACGCGGGTGCCGCGGAAGAGCCGTGGCAGCTTGCGAAGCACTAGCAGGAAGAGTTCCCACAGGCCCATGCTGGAGATTTCCATATGGGTCAGCGCCGCCCCCAACGGTGGAACCGGCGCGGAGCATTATTGATGCAGGTTCAGGAGGAGGCCAACCGGTGGAGCGCCGGCCTGGTGTGCCAACTCCACGACCTCCTGTTCTCCGCCCAGGGCACAGCACCGACTCACCTCGCTGCTGACCCCTACGGCGGAACGCTGCGAGGGGAGCCCAAGAATCCCGAGCCAAGTGCTCGCGGCGGCACCCGACAGGATGCGCGCCAGCAAACCCAGCACAAACCAACTTCTAACAGGAACGTGCGACCCCATCCCACGAGGGAACCCCCGCTCAGGTGCTTTCCATGGAGGCAGCGCCATCGACAAACAGGATTGCTGCATCAGGACGGGACTCAACGAGAACAGCGTGGGCAACAGCACGTGCAGGAAATGTGTTGCATTTTTTTTGGCCAAGGAGCGAGGCACCAAACGCCGTAAGAAATTGCAACCCTGCCGCATCCGTGGGCTGGAGGGTTTGCCAGTTTCCTCCGCGTCCCCCGGTGCAATGGCATGTCCTTCGGTTTGCTCCAGCCTGGCCTCACCGCGAATTTCGCCGGCGCTCCCGGCGCTGGATTGGTCGGACTTGTTGTGCCTGTTTCCCTTTTGGCTTGTTCCAGCGTTGCTTCAGCCACAATGCTTTCGACACTGCTCACTCTTCCGGGAATTCCACCACTTGCCTGGCGCGGCGCCGTGGGCGAGTGGTGCGAACTATGGCCTCCACTGCCACAACTGCCTTCCCTTGACACGCGACGGCCAATGCTCACAACATCCTTCAAGGCGGTCCGCGCGGGGAAGGGCTGATGCCAGTGGCCAGTTCCCTCAGCGGCCGCCTTCGCCCAGAAAGCCTTGAGACAGAGTGGCCTGGCACGGCGTGCTTTGCTTCTTGAGCGTCGTGCACGTTGCCGGCGGTCCGAAGACGTGATCCCGACCTCGCGGCGAGCATCTTGCGGCAGATCCAACTAAGTCATCACTGCAGCGTTGCTAGATTGAGCCGTTTTTCGAATTCAATAAGTCGAAAACTCGGAGAAGGAAAACAAGAGTCGACTAGTCAAACAACCCAGGTCGAAATCGGAAAGTTGAAAAATCAGGGTCGAAATCCGAAAGTCGAAAACCAGAAAAGTCGGTCGAAATCTGCTTGAACTCCAAAAAAAGCGTTTGTCCCAAGTCGAAGTATTGAAAACCATTGTCGCAAAGTCGGCAAGCCAGGGTCAATATTCGAACCTTCGAAACTGGACATTTGCTTTTCTCTCGCAGAGATCAACTTAGCAATCTAAGAAGGCTATACGCCCACGTATTATGGAGTGCCCTTCGGGTGGCCCTTCTTCTTGCAGGCCACAACGATACTTCTGGATCCTCCTACGCTTGAAGCCCCCAAAGAACGATGAAGATTTGGAGCCCCCGAGGGATCAGGATGGTAGCAGTAAAATGTCTGGCAGCATCTTACTAAACAACAAGCAAGGGCTTGTGTTGTTACAACGGGTTTTAGTAGCATCTTAGCTCAAGTTTAGCAAACCATGGTTTGGTAAGGGGTCATCATGGCACAATTTCCCTGTGGTTTGTTTAGTAAACATCATAGTAATGAGTTTGGCATTCACCAAGACGCCTTTCATGACCACGTTCCCCCATGCCGGCTTGCGCAGGATGCCACTGAGACGCAGTTCGAGGTGAGAGACACTGTGGCTCGCACAAGCAGTCATGCAAAGCCGACCCCGCTCCGAGCCCACCCCCTGCCCGAGGCAGCAGCGACGGCGGCAAGGGCGCCAATGGCGAACGAGGCGCAAAGGGCGCCATCGGAGAGGCAAAGCGCCAACAGCGCGGGCACAACCGGGCACCTGGTTCAGATTCCCCTGCAGTGCCCCGGCTCCGCGGCCGCTACCGCGTTTTCGACTGACGATGTGCGTGTTGCTCTCCAAGTCGTTCCAGACGAGTAACGCGCAGAACTGACAGCCCGGTTGGCACCAAGGCATGCCTCTTGGAATGTAAAGAGTAGGCTTGAGCAAGGGCCCGCCGCTGACGATTCCCAGGGCACTCGAGGCCAAGAGCTGGCGCACTAGGTGGCCGCGTTGGCGTATCACAGCGAGCACTCGGTGTGACCTCCCTTTGAACCACCATTTTGGGGGTTTCTCTAAATAGTGGTCCTCTAAAATTGTTTGTTTCCTTTTGGTTTCCCTTTCAGACCAACCCAAAGAGGTAAACACTCATTTAAAGGATCA